TTATAAAATCACATTTATCGTATGTACATATTTATTCGATATATCATTGAGCAGAATTATCGTTTTAAGTACTTTAATATGAGGATTTAAATAATGATATATTAATTCGATTATATATTCGACAGACGGCATTTATATCGTTGGTTATTATGAAGGTCCGGTAACCACTTGACACTAGACAGGCCGTAAGCTCGTTCATCCGTTTAAGCAATTATATATTACGCGACCCGCCCTCGCTTCGTTTCGGAAACATTAAAACACACACGAAACCAAAAAAAAATAATTAAAAAAGTAGCCTATGTTCATCAGGGACAATGTCGGCTTCTAATGGAAAAATAATTTTTCAAATCGGTCCAGTAGTTTCGGAGCCTATTCGAAACAAACAAACAAACAAATCTTTCCTCTTTATAATATTAGTATAGATATAGATATAGATATAGATAAAACAAAGTCCTTTTAAGGAAGATCGCTTCATGACGAAAACATTTTGACTGGTTTTAATCTTAAGGTTTTATATGATCACTTTGTTATTTGTATTATAGATATAGTTATCTGTATTATAGATATAGTATATTATAGTTATCTGTATTATAGATATAGATCTGTAATATATTAATTGATATAAAGGGCAGACTAAGACAAACTACACGGGATAACAGGAAAATATTCGTAGTGGAAATACTACGTAGTACCTTCTGCTAGTTAGTAGATAGTAATCAATACAAATATTAAAAACCATCGTCGGACTTATGTCCGCGTGAGCTAATAAAAACCTGACAATTGCTTATCGGAATACGCCCAATGAAGATTCCGTAGTACGGATGTGCGTTTGAGTTAAATTCGCATTAAAACTCAAGGAATAATCAAGAAAACTATAAAAAAAATTATTGTCTTTACTTTTTCATCGCTGATGCATGTGACTAGGAGATGTATGGAAATGGTAGTGCAAGGAAGAGAACCGACGAAGACCGAAGAAGACATGGATGGAGTGTGTGAATGACGATATGAGAGAGAGAGAGAGGAGTGAGTGTTGAGACGACGGCTGATAAAAGAGAATGGACGAGAAAAATTAGCTGTGCCGATCGCACCTAGTGGGATAGGGTGAAGAAAAAGAAGAAGATTGTCAATACACAAAAGTTCTTTTGCAATATAATTTGATTGTACCATACAATAAGCGCGTGGTGAGGCGTTTTGTCGACCGATACGGCCTGCTTTTAACATTTTAGCTTTTTTAGGGCAGAGCTCCATGCGTTTTCCACCAAAATATCCTATATACATGCCTACAGTTACAGAAACCGAAAAGAAGTGTGGGTTGGTATTGATGACTCACGCGAATTGACTTGACAAGACCTAAATACCAAATATATTTCACAAAGATACTAACTCTGATTGGGATTCGAAGCGGTCAAAGTCTCCTCTTGACGAACGAGGAGGCTCTCTAAGGTCTTTTCTGGTGCCCCAGGGTCATTGAATCGATAAATCTACGATTTCAATACTACGCACCAATTTAAAAACAATCTAAAACTAATCTCGTAATTCGAGAAACGCAGTAGCATACGGCTGATGGTAAACAATTGCAATGGTAAACAACTAAGCGCCACGTATTTCCTGAGATCGACTTCCCAATACACAAAACATTGTCAAAATTATATTACAATTATGTAAATTTAACTGTATTTAAAATTCACACAGATATCCAAATGTTGCGGTGAGATGTCAATAAAATAATTTCAAATAGTAGTCTGAAGTTGTGAACGTATAATTATGATTTAATTAAAATCGTTCTTCGTTTTTACGAATATAAATGACTGCTTTGACATGATTTATGACATTACAGCTAAAAACCAATAAGAAATCTATTGAACACGGTATTCTTCTTAAATTTAAACTTAATTAGGCTTCGAATAAAAGGTGAACAAATAAAAGTAACAAGATGGCCTAAATTTCCTATTCGAGAATACCGTATGTGAATATTTTAGTTTCACTTTCTTTAGGAAATTCAAGCACAAATCAAATGCACTAAATGCACTCGAACATTTTTAATTTATTTAGTTTAAAGTCGAGGGCAAAAGATCTTGCGGACGATCTCCAACACGATGGATCGACCTCATAAAATCTGTGACTCACTCCAACATAAATGATTGCTCTCACTCTGCGGAACATCGTGCCACATGGCGTCGCATCGCGAGAGCATCGGTACCACAGGATCCGACTGATGCATGACCACGACCACTCTGTCAAGAGTGTACGAATAGGAAGAAGAAGAAGAAGTTTTCCTTATTTATGAGTACAAATTTTATCGTTTGTAAATAGGCGATAAGCTCAACGTCTCCTGCATGGAACAACTGCTTGAGCTACATAGCGAAACTCTACATTGTATCAAAATAATTTCATATGTATGGCAACTACATGTAATCCCATTCAAAAAGGAAGAGATGATTACTTAAAGAGAGAAACATGCATGAAGATGATACTACGCTGACCCACATCACACAATTCGAACTAAAACAAAAATACAAAGTCAACGTGGCTTAAAAGATAAGACGACCAGTGTACTCTTATCAACTTATTCATTATGATGGTGTTCAAAACCGCAGGCAGGTACCAAATGTTTCTAATGAAAAATGTACTTCATCTTAAGAACTTCTGCGAAGAAGACTTCCAGAAGGAATTAATTGCATCGTGTAATAACAATCAAAACCGGTGGAATTTGTTACGTCATTAACAACTGATGGAGAAATAGATCTCAAGTCCGAAGGTAGTGACATGGACGTTGTGATATCTATAAGCTCCGCTAGTAAATTAACATTAGGTGGGCCATGGCTCACTCATCTGTCGATGTAATAAAAAATAAGAAATAAAACTGCTTCCCTACTTTCTGGTGTATCTGCCTATTTGTTACCCATATACCTTTCTTTCTTGAAGAAGTCGCTATTCACGTCTAAGAATTATTTTTAGGCAGTACTACTGACGAATAAAGAGTCCGAAATGAAGGCCACTTATAATAATAATGATGAGACAAAATAGATTCATTTTAACGGAAGCCAAACCAGCTCTGATCTCGAAGGTCATTACTATTCAGACATCCGCGTCGAATTGGACCATAAAATTCAATAAAATATGATTTATCATTAAAATTAATTTCAATAACATTGACCAAATAATTTACAATTTAGCTGAAAATCAAAATCGATCATACGCTGAGCGATTTCAACGTTTAAATCCAGAGAATCGAATAATAAAACTTCAACGATCCGAGAAATAAATAAATAAAATATGACTCGAAAAGTGCTTACAAATATCCGTTTAAAATGTCTTCTAAGGTCACCGGGAAGATTAATGCTTTAAAACGAGTTAATAAATTTTGATTGTATTACGTAATGAAGAGTGAACACAACGCAATGCGTGGGTTGGTTCATCTACAAAAACGAACTGATATGACATCTATAAAAATCAAGGACAAAATCGGTGTATCTCCCAAGACTATTAACAAGCAAATTACCTACCAATATTCGAGTTAAGGTATTTGTAAATTTAAAAAGTAGCTCCGCATGCATGCGTATCTATTCTTTTCGTACAAAAGAGGTAAGCTCTTTATATCTTCTGAATAAATATGAGATAATCGACAACAGAATATAAATTCCATAATATGAAATACAGCTATTTATACTTTTTATTTTATATGTATATTAGTATTGTTTTTTCTTAAAATAAATATATATTATTATATTATATATAATTAATAATATTATTAAAATACTTTAAATTTCAAAAACCTGATCCTCTGTAATCGATAATGTATTTCTGTTTGTGTTTTTGTATATATCATTCTGATTATTCACAACGCGACTTAATTTAATTATGGATTCTTATTGCCAAATAACAACCATTAGCTTTCAAGATGTAGCCGCACTTTTATGTATTTTCATCTTCATCGGTTGTCTTTTTTTGTAAAGTTTTTTTATTTATTTTTTATTGCCTAGATGTGTGGACGAGCTCACAGCCCACCTGGTGTTAAGTGGTTACTGAAACCCATAGACATCTACAACGTAAATGCGCCACACACCTTGANTGGATTCTTATTGCCAAATAACAACCATTAGCTTTCAAGATGTAGCCGCACTTTTATGTATTTTCATCTTCATCGGTTGTCTTTTTTTGTAAAGTTTTTTTATTTATTTTTTATTGCCTAGATGTGTGGACGAGCTCACAGCCCACCTGGTGTTAAGTGGTTACTGAAACCCATAGACATCTACAACGTAAATGCGCCACACACCTTGAAATATAAGTTCTAAGGTCTCAGTATAGTTACAACGGCTGCCCCACCCTTCAAACCGAAACGCATTACTGCTTCACGGCAGAAATAGGCGGGGCGGTGGTACTTACCCGTGCGGACTCACAAGAGGTCCTACCACCAGTAATTACGCAAATTATAATTTTGCGGGTTTGATTTTTATTACACGATGTTATTCCTTCACCGTGGAAGTCAATCGTGAACAATTGTTAAGTAAGTATTTCTTTAGAAAAATTGGTACCCGCCTGCGGGATTCGAACACCTACGTTGCATCGCTATATACGAATGCATCGGACGTCTTATCCTTTAGTCCAGGACGACTTCAAAAAAGTGATAAGCAGACAGTGATAAATTTAATTTTAGTACTTATAATGTCTTCGCTACAGAGGACCGCTTACAAAATTTATCTTATAATATTGCAAATATAGTATAATCAGTTAAGTTATATGGTTTTTTTTTGTATTAACCTGTATATAAATAGCTGTGAATCTGTTATTGGGATGGGCATTGGAATGTTATCAAAACTTTTATCACCTACATCCTTGTATCTTTTTTTTATGTTTCGCTAACTATTGTCTGCATATAACTCCTAGTTAGCTTCAGTCATGTCATTAACGATCACTTGGGAATGGGTTTTGATTCATTGAAACAATCACAGTCTTGTTAAAACTGTACTTTATTTACACTTGCATCCAAATTACACACTACGAGTATAACGGCAATTTGACGTTTAAAACGTATTTATATCACAATTAGCATGGAATTACTGACAGCGCCAGTATTGTTTTCATTTATTCTTATTCATTCGGTGTAAACCTAATCCAAAATACGTCTGTGAGATTTATCGCTTACTTCTTGAGAGGAATGTTCTTGGCGATGTAGGCAAGAGCACGAGCGATCTGCTCAGGCACTGGTGGGGAAGTGGGGATAGCATTACCCTGAAACAAAAGAGCACGGTTACAGGCCAAATTAAATCTGAAAAATACTTGATTATTGAATTACAGCAAGGTAACATTGTTAAGGAACCTTTTTTTTTTTCTTCCTACCTATGCTGATAGCCTTGAGAGGCTATTTCAGCTTCGCCCTAACGTTTGCTCAAACGAGGCTCAAACCTGACTACGATGCTAACACGAACCCTAGCAAGAGTCGTGCTTCGCAGAATCTACCACCAGATCGGAAACGCGACCCACTGAGAAGATCCGGCGAGAAACTCAGTGGGCTGTGTCTGAGAGTTAATTTACTCGTCGAGCCCTTCGTCGCAAGCGACGGGTTCGACGAGAACGGTGACCGGAAAAGGAACCACGAATTGCTTATTCAACTCGTGTAGTGTTGTTTGCATCAATACTGCTTAGCAAAACTGTAAGCGTTACTTTGCACTTTTTTTTTATTGCTTAGATGGGTGGACGAGCTCACAGCCTACCTGGTGTTAAGTGGTTACCTAAGCCCATAGACATCTACAACGTGGCTGCCCCACCCTTCAAACCGAAACGCATTACTGCTTCACGGCTTAAATAGGCAGGGTGGTGGTACCTACCCGTGCGTACTCACAAGAGGTCCTACCACCAGTAATAGCTAAGTTAGTTATAAGAACAGTATCTCTACAAAGAATAATATTTAAACTTACAGTGGGCTGGTATCCGTTCTCGTCGGCGACGTAATTGACGCTGATGGGAACACCTTCAGGAGATGTCCAGGAGAATGAGCCCTGTGCAACGACGGGAACAGCAGGGGGGTTTCCACCAAGGTTACGGGGAACTCCCTGTTCTTGGGCAGCGATACCGTTGTTGGTTTCGTAGCTACAAGCAACAAAATATTAATTCCGGAACGAACTTGATAACGGGTTCTCCGTAAATGTACCAGATTTTTTTTAAACTTACAAGTAGGTGTAGGAACCGTCGGGGTTGATTTCATTTCCGAATTTGACAGTCTCAGCGCCGTAACCCTCAGATACCTTGGGTACTACTCTGACGGGGGCAATAGAGGAGATCGGGATGGGCAGAAACGGAGTAGGAGTGGTCACGGGAACGAACGGCCGGTATGTGCTGTACCGGTATGGGTTCTTCTTGTAGAATTCATTTTCATACCGGACTTGGGCGGCAACCGCTGCCACCATGCAAGCGAATACTACCTGTTCCACAAAAATATTATCAAAATATAAATAACTTAAGGGCGTTTTTTTTTAAACTACATTTCAACATTTACTCTCCGAATTTGATAGATCGTGTTTTTTTTTGTTTTTTTTTTAAATTTTATAATATAATTTTTACTTACTGCGAATTTCATTTTTGCTATTCAAGTAAGACAAGCTACGTTGGACTAGTTCGAATGCGGCTAAAAAATCCGCTCATGCTTTTATATTGATCTAGGAACCACCCACTTTAAAACGAGAACTGCATTAGCATTTGAATAATTTGACGTGAAACTAGAAATTATGTATAAAGCTTGGAACTATTCAAACTAATAATAAAACAGTGTTTTTATGCCTCTGAAAACTTGCGAATCGTTATACTTGATTGTTGTAGTCTTAGTTTGGGGCCACGTACCTGGAGCGATTTGTTCATGATTATTTTATGTTTATTTACTTATTTAAAAGTTTTTAAACATTTACAATTACGATATACTGTTAATCAATTAAATGAATTACGACTTTAAAATTGGGGTTGGGCGTACTGTGATCCAGTTATCTAGGTGGTTACTACGATCTGTATCCCAGCTCATCCCGTAGCTATCGTAAAAAATTTTTTTATCCTACCTAAGTTTGAGAGACTATATCAGCGTAGCCGTAGGCGAGTAGATGAGCTTACGAGGCCCAAACCTGACGTTGTTGCTAACACGAACCCTAGCGAGAGCCGTGTTTCGCATATTCTACCACCAGATCGAAAACGCGAGCCACTGAGAAGATCCGGCGAGAAACTCAGTGGGCTGTGTCTGTGGATTAAATCGTCAAAGGCAACTAAAGGTTCCATTCAGAATGGGCATCAGCATTTTTTTATTGCTGTCGTAGGCATACGAATATAAGGCCCAGCTGACGGTAAGTGATTACCGTTGCTCGCGGACATCAATGCTAGCGGCATAGACAAGCCCCTACCAGCCACTAGATTTTCTGAGTATTATACCATCTTACTGGAACACCGACCGGCATTTATTGGATATAGGACGCATTATTAGACCTAACGGGTGGGTTTCACTGTTCCACCTATTTCTATTGCTAAACAGTCTTGCGTTGTAGTTTACAGGATAAGGTAAACCGATATACAATATTAAAGCGCAACTCAGGTCTCCAGAAGGATGAAGGCATTTATGGTGTGATAGGTTCCGGTTACCGTTACATCATCACCCATTTAAGCTAAAAAACACCACGACCCATCACTCTCGGTCGTCTACGATAAATGCAGACCAAACGGGTCAATTTAGACAAGGTCACAAATGAAGCGGAACGGTATTCTGGAACCGCCATGACGGAGATAACGGCAATGGATACTATTAAAATCGCACATATCTCTCAACTCGGCTTTAATAATAGTTTAAATCGTAAAATAAATTCACAAAGAAACTGCCACAATTAATTTGTAACCAAGAAGGGTAGGAGCTCCTAAACAAACACACTGTTATTATACGCGTTGTTACCACGTCGAAGTTTTAGACCCAACTACTCGGGCCGGAGCTCCCTACTTTTATTTTTATTGCCCTAGTAGGCAGTTGAGCGTACGGCCCACCTGATGGTGATTGGTTACCGTCACCCATGGACTTCAGGAACGTCAGGGGCAAAGCCAAACCGCTGCCTACGGTTAAGTACACTCCACAAGCCTCGTTTGAAAAAAGACATATCATTGTGCTCGGGAAACACCGTGGCGAGGAGCTCATTCTAAAGCTGGATGGCACGTGGCAAAAAAGATCTCTGGAAACGCGCTGTGGATGAACGCAGTGGCTCCAAGTAGCCACTGCGGATAAACTCTACTCCGATGGCGGGCGGAGCGATGGTACAAACGAGGTCATGGGATCTTTTCAACAAATATAATACAAACGCGTTAGCGCATATGAAAGCTCAAGGGCGCACGTCAGAACTACTGTGGGGATGTAATCTGGCCTACTCGACTTATGGACGTCCAGGAGTCGGAGCTCTCGCCTGACTGCACACTGTGTGAAACATATCTCCGGTAGAGAGCTATCACATCGGGGAATGTTCGGGGGTGTGGCACCTCCGTCGTCCATAGTCGAGTTCGAGGCGAAGAGATTGACCAGAAGGTCAGTCTTTTCTTTCGTACTATGGGCCATACTGTAATCGGACTTGCGCAGTGGCGGGAGACTAGACCTGCAAAAGATTCTTTCTGCAGCTTTGCCGAGCAACCAAAAAGCACATCTTCCGGAAGGATAGCTCTTTAGTCGCTCGCCAACTCTAGTAACGTGCTCTGACTTCGCCTTAGTAATAGCCTTGTTGTAAGACCTAGAAGCAGTGTTATATTCCGCCTTTTCCCTGAGACGTTAGAATTCCAACGTCTCCTGGCATCATCGGACTCGCGTAATCGGACCGCTTAAGGTATGCAGTATCCCTATTGGTATTGTTATACTAAGGTCTGCCACGATTCCCGACCGTCATCTCAGAGGAGGGAATAAACAATTCCATCCCCTGGAGTACTACGTCCTTAACACGTACGCACAGACGTCAGGATAACCAAAGGAAAATCAGAACCACCCCCATGGGTAGGATGCGTAAAATTCACGCAAAACGGGGCATACTTATAAGGGGCAGCCATGATTAGTTGCTGGTCCGTATATAGCGACACGAAATATATAGATAATACTATTATTGGGCTCGATTTGCCGGCAGAAAAAGTTCATACAGATTTTATAAAGTATTTATTCTGATCACGTGCTTCCTCACTTTAAAACCAACATAAATTGTCAATTAAAGCTGCTATTTTTTTGATAGACGTGTCATGGACCCCCAATTTTTACGGGAATTTATTGAAAACTGCATACTTTTTTTTATTTAGATGGATGAACGAGTCCACGAACTGCCTTGTGTCAAGTGACCATAACTGCTTACTGACAATTACTGCTTGGCAGCAGAAGTAGGCGGAATGACCTACCACCATGACACCTTACCACCGTAATTACGTGATATCGTAAATTATATATTTTGCGAATTAAATTTTTATAACACGTTGCTATTTATTCCTTCAGTGTGGTAGTTATTCGTAACAAGTGTTACGTACATAATTCGGAAAGAAACCCATCTAAAATGCAACACGTCTCGCAAAATTTTACCACTATCAACCTTAATACCGTATACAGTTTAAAAGGGCCAGTAAATTAGCAAACTTGGAACTGCTCTTCTAATAAAAGTGTAGCATTGAATTTTTCATCGTTAGTGAAATAAAATTACAATAGATAAATTAAATCGTTAAAATCGTTCCAAAAAGAAAAAGAAAATTTTTTGGCGAACACAAATCATCGATGAAACATAACTTACTAATAATCAGGCAATAAATTGACGGTCTAGCGTGATCGCATAATTATTATTATCTGCGAAATCTGGTATTCCGATTTACATAAATATTTCGTTCGTCGAGACGAAAAGTTAAATGTTAATATTGACAGCATCTTTCATTTAAGATCCTGTTTTATGAGGTAACAATGCAAGGTCTAAGTAATAAAATATTTAGATTGATATTTTTAAAGGTAATCTATTTTAAGTTTAGTATCATACTTTTTGTTTTTTTGTGATTGTTTTCATAGAAATTGATGGGTGAACAAACTACCAGCCCACCTGATGTTAAGAGGATACCGGACCACACAAAAATCGATTCGGTGGGACTCTCTTTGAATGAGCACGGTCGTACTCGTCGGATTCATATAGAAGCGCCACTTCCGAAACCTCCAAAGGTTACAGTTACGATCTTAAGTTTCGTCGGGATGCAGGACTTAACAGTTAACTGTTTTCCGTTAAGTAAATTTTGTACCTGTCCTAATTTTATTTAATTACCTTAAACGATCTTTCTTATATAGAAATGATTTGCTATCTGATTGAAAAAATAGGTCCGTAGTTAATTCAATCATTTGAACCTGTCGTTTTCTAACCAAACGTGCTCACGGCCCGCCTGGTCTTAAATGGATTTCAAAATGCTGCCACCCACCTTCAAAACGGTAAAGTAAAAGTTTCAGTTCCATCAGAATAATAGGAACCCTGCCCTACAAATCGCACAAGTGGAAGCTTCGTTTCTTTGAACTTTCAATTCAACACACCACCAGTAATGAATAGGACCTTGGTAAGCCGAAGAGCAAATCCCGCAGGTACCCAGTTTTTTTGTGTCGACACCACGTGTGTTTGTACACGTGTAGATACCACAGTCCTGTTTCTGAGTTTCTGATGTGGATCAGTATTGCGTTCCGGTTTTAAAGATTTGGAGCAGCCATTATGATTTACCATAGAGCTCAAGATGGTTGAAGATATTGTTGTTTTATATATATACATAAGTTAATATTTTATTCATGAGGTTTTGCAACCACTTAACAACAGGTAATCCGTGAGCTCATTCACCCGTCTATGCAATAGAAAAAACATACTGCCCACCTTATAAACTAACGAGGGGACTTTTTAAGCTTCGTTAAAAACGACTTATCTCTCGTGAAACACAAATGGAGAGGAATTCATTCTAGGTCCAGGTGGCACGTGGTAAAAATAAAATCAATATATTAAGCCTTTTTCGGACCACAAACGTCCAGCCTTTATAGGAGCTTATAGTCATCATAATGTGAATATATCCTTACCAATAATATTAGCATTTACTGACCACTAGCTAAACATCTAAGTGAAGCATCTTTCAGCCCACAAATGTCCAGTGGTTACAGGAGTCTACAGTCATCACAATGTGAATATACCTTTACCAATAACATTAGTATTTACTGACCACTAGCTGAACATCTAAATGAAGCAGCTTTCAGCCCGCAATTGTCCAGTGGTTACAGGAGCCTATAGTCATCACAATGTGAATATATCCTTACCAATAACATTAATACTTACTGACCACTATCGCAGGGCGTATCGCGATATCATATTTACGGGTAGTTACAACAAATATGCCTATGTTGCGAAGCAGTCATCCATAGTAGGCGGGACAGTCGTAATACAATAAAATTAAAAGCTGGACTTGTTGTCTTATTATTCATCTTAAGGATTTCAGCTATGATGTTTGTGGGTAACCACTTACCAACATTAGGGCCGTCAGCTCGTTCCCACTTACAAGCCATGAATGATAAATACCAAAAAAATGACCTACAAATAAATTTAAATTTACTTATTATAGATACACCGAAAGAAACGTAATAATTCCCAAGAAAAACTTGAATTAATCATAATAGAATAATGCTATTAATAATGAATGAATAGTATTTTAATGAACATTTTGTGAAAAAATTAAATCTGTCAAATGAAGTGTTGAGTCATAATTTTATAGCCCAGTTTTAAATATATATTTTCTTATTATTTATAATTTACTTTTTTTATATAATATAAAAGACAAGCTTGTAAAAATGATAAGAATAAACATCAAAACACATAATTTTGTATAATAAACTTTATTCGCGGATTTCATATTTTTATAATTATTTTAAACATCTTTCAACGAGTAGTTTTTATTTACTTTAATATATCACATTTACAAAGGCCAATATGTTTGACCTGATCAAACTAGAGAACTATAACGATACATTTTCAAATATGGCAATAGAATTCAATTGATTGATGACTACATTTAAATTAACTAAATTCTAAGATTCATTTCAGTTAAGGTTAATTCACTTCTTCTGGGGCGCTGGTGGGTTTCTTGCGATGAAGTCCAGAGCCCTGAGGATGGCTTCTGGGATTGGAGGTGGAGTGGGGATAGCATCACCCTGAAACAAAATATGTTTTAATAAACACATTTAAAGACTAAGTCACGAAAATTTAACTTATTCAAAATAAAAATTGCGTCATCAGCGATGAGATGAAATCAATCGATCATTGTGCAATATTTAAGAAACTGACATTCTGTAATAAAAATAACTAAATAAGTGTTTCTCAATACTTTTCTTAATTACAATTAAAATTTCATTCACTAGTTAATCTTGTGTTTATTATACTCGCAAAAACCAAACAAATGCTCCTTTAAATATTATGGATCAAACTTTTACCTGAGGTTGGTAGCCGTTCTCGTCAGCGATGTAGGTAATTACGATTGGTTGACCTTCGGGAGATGTCCAGGCGAACGATCCCTGGGATACTACAGGCACAACGGGAGGATTGCCTCCGAAGTCACGAGGAGTTCCTTGTGCTTGAGCTGAGATACCGTTGTTAGTCTCAAACCTTAAAAGAATTTTCAATTAAACCATTTAACAAAGATCTTTGAGAGCATACCATATTATCATTTCTTATCATTCTTGATCATAATCGATTTTTCTATTATTAGAATAACTTAGAACAAATACAACCTCTAGGTTATAATTTACTAAATCACCAAAGCCTTGATTTAACTGAATAGCTTTTAGTATTTAACAAATTACTGATAACACTATATTTTTTTTTTTAATTTGTTATATCAACAATTCAGTTTACAGGAGGAGATCACTTACCCATGGCTGTAGCTGCCGTCAGGGAGGATCTCGTTCTGATAACTGATAGTTTCAGCAGCCTGCTCATTAGTTGCGACACGGTTAGGAAGAATAGCCTGAATGGTCGGTCTGGGTGGTGGAGGTGGTGGTATAGTAGGCCGAGGGAAGCCAGGGATCCGAGTTGACTGGATAAATCCTCCAAACTGAGCAGCCGAAACAGCTACAACAGCTGCGAATACCACCTGCAATAAAATTCAAAATTTAATAACAATTTTAAAATTAACAATTTATTTTTTGTTGTATCAATATATGGTTATTGAAATAACTCACAAAGAATTTCATTTTGACTAGAGAAGATGCGCTGGTTAACTGATGTAGTTTGATGAGATTTTTTTATATTTATACCGTTTCATCGAACAATTTTACGCAATACGGCATTGATATTGTCATAATATGTTTGCATTTGTATATTAATTACTGTGGTCGACAACATTCTTATCGTCCAAAAACATCATGTTGCAAAATTTTCACGCCTCGTTTGACATGCATTGATTTGAATCTGGTTCAGTAAGCTTTTTCACTCTCTTTTTCTCGTTACACATTTTGTAGCACGTAAAAACATATTATACATTTGTATTATAATCAACAAAGTAACCTAGCACACCGGCACAAACATCAGTCTGTATAATATATTTTATTCAACAAACAATATATCAATATTCGCGTTACATATTTGTGTTCGAGAAAGGATTGATCAACACAAACTTTACTGGCAGTAAGGCAGAAAATTTGATGACTTTTCAAGGGCTTAAATGCGCAAATGGGCTACCAGTATCAGAATTCATGTCTTTTTGGTCGGGCCTATTGCGGGGTGAAATGCAATACCTATTTAGATTTTCAATTGTAGATTTTTTTTAATGAATTATACTTTGAATAAAGGCCATAACACGCCACTCACCCATAGGTACATTCCCGTTCGGCCTTTCTTTCAAAAGATAACAGAGGCCTGATTTGTTAGTTACATGTATAGCACTCCGCTTCCACTTGGAACAATAACGTTCTTTTTTTTAACGCCCGGTCGAGGGTGGTACTAGACCGAATTAGGTCGGACTACGGTGCCTCCAGAGAAAAGAGAGAAGACCGAGATCCTTCTTTTCCCCAATTCCTCCTAGGAGACTACGTCTTGATAAAGGCACGCGAGGAGACAAGTGGCTTGGGTCGCGCAAAGCCCGCCCTCAGCACTACCGACTGAGCTCCATCAAGCTCCACCACACCGGCTTACGGCTTAGACGAATTTTTTTTTTTTTTTTTTTTTTTTTTNACTATCACGCACAAATGTGTATTCCGATGCGTAGGTCGCAAGCGACCAACGGATTGGAAGGCACGTTCACACACAACCGAGTCGTAAACGAGAATGTATTCACGGTCACTAAACTGTCGAGCACAACTGTGAGTTCAGAGACGTAGCTCGCAAGCGGGCCACGGATCGGAAAGCACGTCCGCGCACGACCGAGTCGTGAGCGAGAATGCTTAGACGAAACTTACGGTACCGGATAATATGCACCGAAACCCCGACTTCGTTGGTACCCGTCCTGATGATAGGTCGAGATTTCATCTCCGGGAAGATCCCAAAGGACGACGACGACTATCATTAGTAATTTCATACCAAATTTATGATAAATATATAAATCTGAATAAAAAATTATCCCCAAAATTCAGTAAGCCGATCTAACCAATATATTGTTTATTTCTTAAGAAAATTTAAAAAATGACTAGAACCTCCTTTATCAATCATATTAAAAGTGTATTTCATAAATAATGCGATAACAAATATAGACTGGCGATCTGGAAATCAATAGTTACTGGAGCTATGTTAGGCATTTCTGTGTGAGATATGGTGCGCAATACCGAAACTCACAGAAGAACTGGTTTGACTGGCATAACCAAAATGATTGCTCGGAGAAAGTGAAAGAGGGCTGACCACATATGCCGTCGCACTGACAATCAGTGGGCCACAAAAGTACTGGAGTGGAGACCTCTTACTGGACGTCGTAACAACCAAACCGTCGAACAGACAACCAATGAGGTGGAACGACGTAAAATAACTGATAAGGTCTGGATGCGAAGGGCAAGAGACCGAAAGGTATGAAGTGCATATGAAGAGACCTACACGCAGCAGGGTGGCAACACAAGTTGAAGAAGAGAGACTGGCGATCTGAGGAAAATCAAACAAAATGAAGTCAACAAAATGTGTAGTAATTCGCTTTCTAATCGTATATTCAATTCCTGCATTTTCTATTACTCACGAAGACAGTCAATCGTACCGGCAGATTTACGGGAACCGGTGACCATCGCTAATCGACGTGGACAAAGCCAGGGCTATAGATAAGCCACTAAACCAGAAAATGTCATAGCGCTTAGGAACTGAATGATCACGGATCACTACCTAAATTGAATTCAAAATAATCGTGACCTTATTGAACACACATAAAATGAGACATTTAGAAATAACTATTCAGCTCCTTGTAGAATTTTATTTCATTTTAATGTAAGCGACCTTTCGGAACGAATGAAATTTGCCCAAATACCCGTAATCTGGTTCTAAGACACTTAAAATAAATTTTCATAATAAGTAAATTATTTTACGTGTATATTTCGACATTTGAATCACGGGTGCATTGAAGTATTATAAGTATTGCTTGAAGAATTTATCGAGATTCAGTGAGAAACAATTGACAACAAACGTAATATAAGGTATAATTAAATTAGATTCTCGTTACCCGGCCGAATATTAAATATAAAAAAAACTGGGTTTTTAGACAACTGTCCCAAAATGAAAGTAATTTATCACGGTATTTATGTAAAATCCTTAATTGCACCAAAACTCTTAAATTTCTGACGAGATTTCGATGTGTGGTACCATTAGAATCCTTCCATTGTCCCGAGTGACATTTATTTTGGTTTTTGCACGACAGTTAAGTTTTGTAATTTAAATATTTTTATTGTTATTTCTTATACAAAGTGAAGAAATGAATCGTTCGTAGTATAATTTTTTTACAACTGGCTACTAATATCCATAGACCACGTAAATGTCACCAAATTTGAGACATTTCAAGGTTTCAGTTTTATTACATAACGACTATCTCTTGTTCCTCGAACCGGTACGGATGACTGCTTTACAGGCTTATTATAGTAAGCATTATCATTCGTAACACGATTTCTTCAAATACTTCATCTGAAATCCATAACCTAGTATTTGAAACTTTAGAAAACACTCAATAAAAATGCTAGCGATTTTAACAAAGAGTACATACGACTTTACGCTTCTGGTATCAGGATTAGTTTCATAACAACTATTTTGATCATTTAATTAAATATATAGTTTAATCAGTAATAGTAATTAAATAATTAAGTAAAATCAAGAATATCGCAGTAGGTTTGAACAATCTACTCTATCTATATAAATTTTATTAATATCGGTGCATGTTTGAATTGTAATGTGCACAAAGACAGTTTATAGCCTGGATTAACAAACAGGATAATTTTTATCGCGGTAAATGACGTGACCCAGGCGACGACGTGTATATATGCCATAATAAATACGAGAGTGTTCGCGGGTTCGTAATAAATTGGCTGGTTTATGAACAAGAGAGTGACACAAGCAACCTTTTTTAATACGGAAAAATGCAGTGTATTTTATTATTTATGAATTACAAATTGAATGCGGGTAAAACTGCAGAACACGTCTAGTTATTTATTAAGCCTAGATTACAGGCGAACTCTATAGCACACTACTACAAAATAGGAGTAGATTCTAAAGGAGGTCGGGTTTCATACCAATTTTAATGAATATGTCAAGGACTATTTTAGTCACATACGAGGGCGGCACTGAAAATTTCGGGAATTAACGAAGTGACACAACATTACTATTTCAAAATGTATTTATTGCTTTTCGAAGTATTCTCCGCGAAATTTGACACATTTTTCCATACGATGGAACCAATCATTGAAGCAACCATTCCATTCGGAAGTTGGGGTTTTGTAGGCTAGTTTAGTAGATTTAGTAGAAGCTGTGGACGCCTACAAAAATGGCCGTTTTGTAGGCGTCCACAGCTTCTTCAGGTGATGAAAATCTCTGTCCACGCAATTTATTCTTTATTTTAGGGAAAGTATAGAAATCATTAGGGCTTAGGTCGGGGCTGTACGGCGGATGGTCTAATAATTCTATGTTTTCTTGCTCTAAAAACTCTTTTGTTCTGTGCGCGGTGTGAGAACTCGCATTGTCGTGATGGAGGATGATGCGGCGGTTGCAGCTCTCTTTGCGGAGTTCAGAAACGACCTGTGGCAAACAAATGCTAGCATACCATTCTGCATTAACCGTTCTTTGTCCCTCAAGAGGAATAGTCGTAACATGGCCGGCTTTGGAGACAAACGTGGCCACCATTTTTTTTGCAACACTCCGTGAACGAACAATTTTTGTTGGCTTTAACTCATTTTCGAACACCCAAACTCGTGACTGGTTCTTTGTTTCGGGTTCGTACGCGTATATCCAGGATTCGTCACCTGATACAATGTTGTATACAGCATTTGAGGATCCTGCGTGGAATCTTTCGAGAGTTCTGACGCACCAAGTAACGCGAGCCGCTTTTTGCTCTTCACAGAGCGAATGCGGTATCCATCGGGAAAACAATTTTTTTACACCTAATTGTTCGTGCAAGATTATTTGTATTTGACTCATGCCAATGTCTAAAGTTGCCTGAATTTCGCAGTATGTCACATGTCGATCTTCCTCAATCAGCTTACGCACAGCGTCAACGTCTTCTTGGGTGACTGCAGTTTTTGGACGACCTTGACGGGGATCATCACTGAGCTTGACACGTCCACGTTGAAACTCAGCAAACCAGCGATAAATTGTGGTTTTGGATGGGGCTTCATCACCAAATGCAGAAATCATCCTGTCAACACACTATTTTTGTGTTAAACCACTTTGAAAGTCATAATAAATCATCGCTCTTGAATTTTCTCGAGTCAATTCCATTTTCTCAACGACTAAACAAGTTTGACAAAACCTCGTGACAAGACCGAGAATCTTTTTTTAAATAAATAAATGGTATTCGATTTTTAAAACCAAGGAGTTTTCAATTAAGAAGATTTTAATATGACAGGGACAGTGGAAATATTCCATTCCCGATACTTTTAGTGCAGCCTAGTAAGCATATACAACACCTCTTGGCTTATCGGTAAACAGTCGACGTCGCCCTAAACACGTCATTACGGATCCTCTCGATCCATTAACAGTGCTTTTAGGTACGTCAAGCACCGATTACCATCCTGGCCGAACCCTTCGCTTACAACGAAGGACTCGACGAATAAATTAACCCATAGACACAGCCCACTGGTTTCTTGCCGGATCTTCTCAATGGGTCGCGTTTCCGATCCGGTAGTAGATTCTGCAAAACACCTCTCAAGGCTATCAGTATCAGGATAGGTAGAAAAAAAAATTACTTATCGATCAACGATATTAACAATGCTAGGGGAACAACCTTGCTCCTAAGGACTGTTTTCAAACCTCGTTTGAAGTAGTACATACCGTAGCGCTCGGGAAACACTGGAGAGCTAAATAATAAATAAATATCTCTAGAAACGCATTGAAGATGGGTACAATGTATCCATGGTGAACTTTACGCCGACGGTGGGTGGTGGGCGGAACAATTCAGAAAAAAAAAACCCGTGCAACATACAAAACACCAAAAATTCCAAATAGCCTATTATTATAAAAGATTAACTTTAACGGGTTTCAATGTATGTAGATTACAATCGAAATAAAAATAAATTGAAGTATTTGTCACCGATTTCGGACTAAAGGCTTTTAAGGTCATAAATTTATTTGTAGTTGACCGAGACCAAAACATGAATTATAATATATTTCTGTTTGTTTGTCCTGGCTAATTTACGAAACGACAAAATTTTGTCGTTTCAAAATTAACGTTCGAAGATTGTTTAATACAGCAGTCGTGAAGCATTGTACCGAATGTATAACCGTTTTGATCATTTATTTTAATGGGTAGTTTTATTAAAGCTCTTAACAAAGACCTTGTAATAGGTTTCCATTATTATAAGAATTAGATATGCCCAGTAGTTTCCCAACGCTAAATTTAATATGCTATTAAAACAATATGCACCACTAAGTAATTTTCTTTCTTTTAGGAATTATGAATTTTCCGTGATGGACGTAGTTATACAAATACTCCTTAGTAAGCTTTTGCGTTGACCTCTTTACAAGTTAACGATTTATACGCAACAACGGAACAAAAATAGCGCAAAACTCGACAATTTTTCTATCACCGAATAAAATGTGTAAATTATAATTATAATGCTTCACGACTGCTGTATTAAACAATCTTCGAAAGTTAGTTTAATGAAACGAAAAAGGCAAACCTTCCACTGAGAGGATATTTTTGCACTCTTTATCGACGGTCCAAATGCTGTTTGTTCTTAAAAACTTATATGTAGGTAAACATATGTTGATAATTTCGTTAATACGATTCATGTTTTTTGTCAAACGTCTTCTGATTCTATGTTAGCTACCGCTATAGTACTAGTGTTTTTTTTAGGGCAGGGGACCGAGCCTTATGTAAGATTTCTACGCCTAGCGGGCGCGTGAGGTATGTCTATGGCTTTTGATGGTCTACAGATGCCGCTATACCGCTGTCCATATTGGATTTTTTTATTAAATTATTCCATGTTAACGACTTCAAGCTTTTTTTTTTATTGCATGTATGGTTGGACGAGCTCACAGCCCACCTGGTGTTAAGTGGTTACCGGAGCCCATAGTAATCTACAACGTAAATGCTGCCACTTACCTTGAGATATGAGTTCTAAGGTCTCAGTATAGTTACAACGGCTACCCCACCCTTCAAACTGAAACGCATTACTGCTTCACGGCAGAAATAGGCAGGGTTGTAGTACCTACCCGTGCGGACTCACAATAGGTCCTACCACCAGTAAGCACAGCATTGTCACTTATGTTACGAGAGTCGCACATGCATGACAAAAACGAGTACACGCTGACGCTAAGCACAGTAACAGATTCTGACCAGAAATTTAAATGGGACCCAGGCTACGATAGTCAAGATCATTTACTACTTGACCAAGATTTTTTTTTATTGCTTATATTGTGGAAGAACTCAGGGCCCACCTGGAGTTAGTGGAGTTAGTAATAGTAGCAGTAACCATTACCCACCCCGAGACATGAGTTACAAGTCGCAGATCTCATAGTGCAATAGCGTCCCACCCTTTAAACCGAATCACATTACTACTCCTCAACTGAAATAAGCAGGATGGTGTTACCCACCAGTGCGGGCTCATAAAATGCCCTATCACTAGCAAATTTGTAATATCTCTGTTAAAGCTTAACAACCACTTTTGATAATCAACAGACAGATTCACGTACGGACAACCCCTTCAGTAAGCGATACGAATGATTTTAGTGATCTACTAGCGACCCGCCCTCGCTTCGCTTCGGAAACATTAAAACACACATGAAACAAAAAAAAAATTAAAAAAAAAAAAAAAAAAAGTAGCCTATGTTCATCAGGGACAATGTCGGCTTCTAATGGAAAAAGAATTTTTCAAATCGGTCCAGTAGTTTCGGAGCCTATTCGAAACAAACAAACAAACAAATCTTTCCTCTTTATAATATTAGTATAGATGAACGTATTTTAATCGCTAAAAATTGGAAAACAAATCCTTCAAAACAATAACATTTTCTTGATGCTTAGATTAAAATTCGGAGGATATCAAAGACTTGAATAAATAAAGTACGATACAGATTTCTTGTTATTGAAATTTTTTAATCTAACACTAAATATAATTATCAAGGTCGAGCACAAAGGTTTTGTTTATTGATACTTAAATGAAACTTAATTGAAACTTGTTTATTAAAAATTGGACAACAAATCCTTCAAAACAATGACATTTTCTTGATGCTTATATTAAAATTCGAAGGATATCAAAGACTTGAATAAATAAAGTATGATACAGAGTTATTGTTATTGAAAAATTTTAATCTAACACTAAATATAATTATCAAGGTCGAGCACAAAGGTTTTGTTTATTATTAAATAAAAACAAGAAACTAAATATCATTTATACCTAAACATAACTTAGTAGTCGTCTTACTTAAAAATGTCGTTGTACTAAAATTGGGTAGGTAAAAACGATTTTGAGCGAGATATTCATAGAGCTGTACCGATTCAAGATGACTACAGCTAAAGCATTAATCTATTTTTAACACAAACTGTGAACACAGCTTATGAAAAATTTACAACGCCGTTCGGCCTTCCATTTTGAATAATGACGAAAGACGTGGCTTAATGTCATCCGCTTAATACATAACGTGATCTTGGCTCGGGACATCACGCGTGCCTTCTATGCATGGATTTATTTATTTATTTTTATTTAATTGTATTAAGCCCTCAACGAACTCACGGTCTATAGACACATCATTATTACTGCTAAGAACCTTGAGATCGGGTGGCCGAAAGGCGATTGCATGCAGCAAAGACGCGAATGTTGCGATGGATGTCTGGAGTAACGAGAATGGATAGAATACGGAATGAATATGTTAGAGGAAGTCTGAAAGTGGCACCTGTGACAGAGTAGCTGAAGTGCGCGCTTGGGACGGTATGAACATGTGATGAGACGAAATGAAAATGAGGTTGGTAAGAGAGTGTTAACTATGAATGTGGAAGGATATAGAGGAAGAGGTAGACCTAAGAAGAAATGGATGGATTACGTGAAAGACGATATGGGTAAGAGGAGAGTGAGGGAAGAAATGGTATATGATAGAAGGGTATGGAAGGAGAAAACACGTTGCGCCGACCCTAGGTGACTGGGAGAAGGGCAAGATAATGATGACGATGATGAACCTTGAGATCATGTGGGAGTGTCGATTACGGTGCTATCTATCACTTCCTCGTGGAAAGTAATTCGTGAAAACTTACGTAAATAGGTATTTCCTTAGAAATTAGTATTACTGCTAATGCATACATAATTATGTATTATATATTAGTATCATATAAACTATTTATGAGTCTCTCACGGTTGATAGATTATTTAGGATAGTTGTGTGGATTGCGAACCCGTCCGAGTAGACATTAACTTAGATAATGATATATCATTTTGACGCTTCGTACATCTAAGTTAATAGCACATTCCTTTATAAGTCTATTACCACCGTTTATCTCTGTGAAATTCTCGGAATCTAAATACTAGATACAAAAAAAAATTGTTCAAGTATTTTCATCACATAACATTTTCATCACACACGAGGCTCATTATGACTGGCGCAAAGATACATCTTTGAATTTTACAACTTCAAAAGAGATTTTTTTTGGAATTGTGTGTAAATAGTAAGCTTCTTGTACCTTGGTCCAATGGCCCTTTCTAGGGAAAACAAAGTTAAAATATTTAAATTTTCACAATAAACAAAATTTAAAACAAGCGAAATCGTGCCACACTAGTTCGGCTCGAATCTAACCAGCTATTTTCGCACCTAAAAACTGATAGCACTGAACATCACAATAGTATGTAAGTTCAGCTTTTACGGAATTAAGGAATTTTAAGAAAACTGAAATTAAGGAAAGGAAGGAACATATTATCCGAGGTGCGAAAAGAAAGATGAATAAAAAAAATTGGTTTCTAAATATCGATCGAATTTATTATTGTCGTTTCATTTAATAACTATTAATACTTTTCAAGGTAAATGCGCGCCGACGGGCTTGAAGCCGTTCTCGTCGGCGGTATAGTCGACCCTGTACTTCAAACCATCATCGCCAACGTACTCGTAAAAACCCCTTGTTCTGGTACCGCCACCGTTTACTGTCGGCTCAACGCTCCCAGATTCTTCCGCTGCGATTCCATTGTCCGTTTCGTAGGCGAAATGGTACGCGTTGACGTCAACATCGTTATCTTGCCGTATTATATTTGCTGATCCGTCGTTCACATATTGAGTTCTGTAAGCCAATGGCTTGACGGTCGATGAGTAGACTAAGGGACGGTATGTCGATACGACTGGAGGGCGATAGGTTACAGTAGCAACAGAAGGTTCTGCGGTCTGTTCAATACTGAAAAATTAGAATCAAAGTTTTATTTACGTCTCTAAGAAACAAAACTGAAATTCGTATTTCAAAACAACAAATTTAAGAAAAGAAAACTAAGATAATCGTCGATGACAAATTTTGCAAAACNATGAGTAGACTAAGGGACGGTATGTCGATACGACTGGAGGGCGATAGGTTACAGTAGCAACAGAAGGTTCTGCGGTCTGTTCAATACTGAAAAATTAGAATCAAAGTTTTATTTACGTCTCTAAGAAACAAAACTGAAATTCGTATTTCAAAACAACAAATTTAAGAAAAGAAAACTAAGATAATCGTCGATGACAAATTTTGCAAAACAAAAGCATGTAGCTGCTATTTGGCAATAAAATAAAGCAGCTTACACAAAGTGCTTAAATTAGTGGTTACTTGATTTTTGTGCACATCTAAACAGTGCGTATTATTGGAATTTTATAAGTTGAATTCCCCTTTTTTATTAATAACTAGCGACCCGCCCTCGCTTCGCTTCGGAAACATTAAAACACACATGAAACAAAAAAAAAAAAAAAAAAAAGTAGCCTATGTTCATCAGGGACAATGTCGGCTTCTAATGGAAAAAGATTTTTTCAAATCGGTCCAGTAATTTCGGAGCCTATTCGAAACAAACAAACAAACAAATCTTTCCTCTTTATAATATTATAGTATAGATACAATGGACTAGTACTACAATTTCGATGCTCACGTAATGATGATCTTGATCTTTTAAGCTTTTCAAATCCGTTATGTTTACCAATTTTGTTTAGAATATTCTAAAGGAATATCATTAGAACAGTCGTTTTTGCTAAAATAGTTTTGATACGTTCAATATGTTAGAAAAATTGTTAATTAGCAATTCATATCTCTTTTATTTCAGTAATCCAACGAAGATTATTTGTTTTTTATATATTTATATAAATAGAACAAAAACTCTCAATAATAAGTAAAGTCAAAAGAATACAATAGCTTATTACCCATTTCCGTACTTGACGAAAGGAGTCAACAGTTGTTGATTCAGCTCCTTAGCGTAATATGGCTGATACGCGTTGTAGATCGATTGGTATTTGCTATTTCTGTTGAGTAGGCTCCTGTACCGTCCATCAAAACTATTGATGTACTTTCCATCGTTCGTTGGGTAATAACTCCCGTCGCCGTAAATCTCTGGCCTGTATTTTCCATCGTCTTGAGCTTGACTCCTGGATACCAAGAGTGAGCAGGTAGCCACTACGAACTGTAACAAAATATCAAAATAACAAAATTCTGGTTAGCAACTCGAAACTCAAAAGATTTACTTTAATTGGCATTTTATTGCCATTAAAATTTATTAAAAAAGTTTAGGACCTAAACTCGTACAAATGTATTTTTTTTTTAGCACTCCACCAATATTGGAGTATTGAAACGAAAGCTTCAGCTTATCTTTATTCTTTGAAATGATTGAGTCGTTTTTTCAACGAGCATTTTTTTATGATTTGACTGTAGGTATGGTTTTTATTTAGAATATTAAAATTGCACCACCCCATCTCTTGCTGTGGATCTGGTGAAGGCAACTAAGGTATTCTCTGCACAATAGCAGTACCGCACCGCACTATAGCAGCGTTTCTATTCCTTAAAGGAATACTACGTAAATATGTATATTTTAAATATATTTTACTAACAATCACGGCACGTTAACTGGTCCCGTGATAAGTTCGTAAAGAACTTGTGTTACAGGTACCAGATAACGGAAATAAATGTAAGATTTTTATTATACACATACATATATTTAATATACATCCATAACCCCGGAAAAGACATTTATATTTATCATACAAATATCTTCCCTTGGCGGGATTCGAACCCGCGACCCCCTAGTGTAGTGACCATNTCGTAAAGAACTTGTGTTACAGGTACCAGATAACGGAAATAAATGTAAGATTTTTATTATACACATACATATATTTAATATACATCCATAACCCCGGAAAAGACATTTATATTTATCATACAAATATCTTCCCTTGGCGGGATTCGAACCCGCGACCCCCTAGTGTAGTGACCATGTCACTTACCACTACACCAGACGGACGTTAAACCTTACCTATGCTGATAGGCTTGAGAGGCTATTTCAGCTTCGCATTGACGTGTAGGTGAGCTCACGGGGCTCACCGGGGCAAGCGGGAGTGTTGCTAACACTAGCCCTAGCAAAAGCAGTGCTTCGCAGAATCTACCATTGGATCGGAAACGCAACCTACTGAGGAGATCCGGCGAGAAACACAGTGGGCTCTGTCTATGGGTTAATTTACTCGTCGAGCCCTTCGTCGCAAGCGACGGGTTCGGCCAGGAGGGTGAAGTAGCAGCGTAGCAATGATAGGGCCTATTTTAAGTCTGACTGCCAACAATTTCGAGTTGACGAGATGCCACTACTCGGCCTATTTTTGCCGCATAGCAAATATACGTTACAGTTTCAACACGTGCGAAATCCCTAACGCATTACATTGTCAGTTGAAAAAACATACGTGAACTTCAAACGCGGCAGAAGTGAAGCCTGCAGCTCTTTTAGAGTTGTTTTGCGATTAAAATTTTCGTTTCCGAAAAATTATGTTATTTCTGTTTCATTAATTATTAAATCAGAAAGAACGCTGCTAAAGTAGTTTTTACTTAAAATATAAAAGTATAAAAGGTTTCTTGAAAAGACGTATTAACACTCTATTTTTTTCCTCCCTATGCTGATAGCCTTGAGAGGATATTTCAGCTTCACCATAACGTGTAGGTCAGCTCACGGGGCTCAAACCGGAGTGATGCTAACACTGGCCCTAGCAAGAGCAGTGCTTCGCAGAATCTACCACCGGATCGGAAACGCGACCCACTGAGAAGATCCGGCGAGAAACTCAGTGGGCTGTGTCTATGGGTTAATTCGCTCGGTGACCGGTACACTCTATTGATAATTTAAGAATGTACGAAATACATTGGACCTATAGCGCCATTCAGATCATGGCTCATAAGCATCGTTTGTTTTGTAGCTTTAGGATGCGGTTTTTTGATGAAAGTTACCGCTAAAACTCAAAAGTCATCTGAGCATCAACATTACAATGTGGTGACTTTGAGCTTAAGTAATCGCTTAACGTGAAATGAGATGCTTCTCCATTTATGGAGAAACATTGTTTCCAATACAAATTCAACAATTTTGATCGCATCAGACCAGGGTACACTTTCGAAGGTACATTTAAAATAACTAAGCGTTGGATTGGATTTAAGATAATATAGTTCAAATTAGAATTATTGAAATCATTTATTTCATTTTCATTAATTCAATAACTATCATGTCAGGCTACAACTTGTATGTCTTTTATATATTGTATCTTTGTCGTAATAATACATAATAATATTAAGAAATATAATTTCAAGCATTCTACTTTAAATCAATGTAGACTTACCAATATCACTTTCATGTCTCTAGCTTACTGTGAACTAAAAAAAAAGAATGATAGTTCGTAACGCCTCTCGTTTCTTATATACGACCATCAAATTCTAAAATGGAGTATTTATTGCAACAATCCATCGATCTTAATTGTGTAAATGCTAATTTTAGTTTTAGGTTGGCATTCAAGGATACTTATTTGGGCTGGTCCGATATATATTACACGAGACGACGCAGCCATACCAAGCCTTTTGGTAACTTTACGCCTACTTTCAAAACTATTGTATAATTTGTTCGTAAACTATCGATTTTACTGCTATCAGTACCTAGTGGTAGCAATTAATGGAAATTATTTTTTTATAGTGTGATGTCCTTGTAAATAGACTTTTACCCGCGAATGGGTTCAATGGTGAAGGAATAACATCCAGGAATGAAAATCAAAACCCACAATTTTATTTTGAGAAATTACTAGCGGAGCGGCCTGAAGACCCACACAAATACATACATACTCTGATCCCTTATAATATACTTCTGCGACAAACCTTTCCGATTCAAATGATAAGTCATTCGTTTGTCAGTCCTACAGCTCTTACAAAGGAAAAAGCTTGACGCGAAACTCCTATCGATTGAGACGTAAAACACCATTCTCAGCAGGCTTTGCTCCATAATCTGTAGTGGAAGCTAAAGTTACCTTCGTGATGGACATTTTTTTTATTGCATAGATTGGTGAACGAGCTCACAGCGCACCTGGTGCTAAGTGGTTACCGGAGGCCATAGATATCTACAACGTAAATTACACCACCCACGTGTCGAGCACGTACCCGTACGGTCACTGCGGTCAGAACTCAGACACGGATCGTTTGGAACCTCTGGGTCAGCGGAGGGACTTCGGTTCCCTCTGTATTTTGTACCGTATGTTCCACGGGGAGTGCTCTGAGGAATTGTTCGAGATAATACCGGCATCTCGTTTTTACCATCGCGCCGCCCGCCACCGGAGTAGAGGTCATCCATACTACCTGGAGCCACTGCGGTCATCCACAGTGCGTTTCCAGAGGTCTTTTTTGCCACGTACCATCCGGCTATGGAATGAGCTCCCCTTCACGGTGTTTCCCGAGCGCTATGACATGTCCTTCTTCAAACGAGGCTTGTGGAGAGTATTAAGCGGTAGGCAGCGGCTTGGCTCTGCCCCTGGCATTGCTGAAGTCCATGAGCGACGATAACCACTCAACATCAGGTGGGCCGTATGCTCGTCTGCCTACAAAGGCAATAAAAAAAATAAAAAATAAAAAAAATTAAAAAAATTAAAGAAAAAAACTTAGTCGAAAATTTCAAGCGAATAGCTTATTGGTTCGCTTGAACCTCGTTGCGACTTCGGTGACCCGGAATCAGCTTTGAGAAATCCCAAATAAACCGCACACCCGCTTGACGCTCATAATTTGTAGGATATTAAGCCCCGTGACCAAAGGAAAAAATAAAAAAATAGATATTTTTTTGTTTTATGTCCTCCCGTGACATAATAATAGCAATAACATTGGTGCCCATTCTCGGGGTGGACGAGATCGCGGTTCATCTGGTCTTAGGTGTTTATTGAAGCTGTGGGCTCGATCTCTCAATTGCATTGTAGAACGGCTATGCTTTGCTACTTCGCAGCTAGAATAGGCAAGATGGTACCTAAGCCCAGCGAGTTCACAATCATTCCCTAAAATCTTGGTGGAGGCCTAAGTCCAGAAATGAAGGCCTATGGGCTGATGATGATGATGATGACGATCTAGGCCGACATCAACCGACCTTTATCAATATTTCTCTTCTCAGACGTTCCGCGGTTTTCAAAGCGGTGGCAGTTTTCTTGAAGAATTTGAAGTTCTGATGAAATGTGATGTCCCTTCGCTGCCAAAGTACCACGTCGTCTAGCGATCTCCTTCTACATCTACTCATAATTCGAAATTCCCGAAATAAAATTAATATGATCAGTCTATTACATTTGTGACCGCTCCAGGTTATACTCATAAAAAACTTTTTCCTTAAAACAATACGACAATAACAAAATCCAGTATCAATAAAGTAATATGCGGTATATTTTTTTTTGTTGTTGTATTTCGGATTTTTGGAACGTAGTTATTCTAAAATATAAAAGAAATAAAGATTTGAAACAAACGTTAAATGAACAAAAAGCAAAGGCTCAATAAATATAACGTGCACCATCATGCGGATGAGTTGTCGCCCATGACACAGATATTTTTTATTCGATCGAGCGAATGTTAGTGACCTGTATGCATCCAATGAGTTCAACATACTTAAAGGGTACGAATCTTTTATCTTCGTTTTATTGATCAGGTCAACTGCGTAATTCCAACTAAATTATACACATACATACTTAATATTGAATTTTAAATCTGACAACATACAGTAGATTTGGACACCTTTTTGATTTTATTTCTTACTTTTATACATTTCGTTAGCATATCATAAAATATTCTATTTTTTATGCTGCATATCACTGGATTACGGCTCACTAGTTGCTTTGTGGTTATTGTAATTCAGATACATAACAACACGAATTTTACGGCTACTGGTGGTACTTTCATTACTGGTGGTTGAACCTCTTGTGAGTCCGCACGGGTAGGTACCACCGCCCCGCCTATTTCTGCCGTGAAGCAATAATGCGTTTCGGTTTGAAGGGTGGAGCAGCCGTTGTAACTATACTGAGATCTTAGAACTTATATCTCAACGTGTGTGGCGCATTTACGCTGTAGATGTCTATGGGCTCCAGTAACCACTTAACACCAGGTGGGCTGTGAGCTCGTCCACACATCTAAGCAATAAAAAATAAATAAAAAAAAACTTTTCATTTTTACTGGTGGTAAGAGGACTTGTAAGTCCGCACGGGTAGGTACCACCGCCCCGCTTATTTCTGCCGTAAAACACTCCAGTAAGCGCTTAACACCAGGTGGGCTATAAGCTCGTCCATCCATCTATGCTTAAAAAAACAATCAGCCCTGGGACGATATTCGAAGTCTGTGACTGTTTAGTAATATCGTGTTACATTTACTCTTATACAAAGTTACGGCCCACCTAATATGACTGTCCGCACTTTGAACCTGAACCCATGAGTGCTTCTCTACAAATAGGTACGAATGGAGGTACCTACCCGTACGTACTGGGCTTGCAATATGTCCTAGAACCAGTAATTATGCAAAGTCATTTTTTGTTACTCTATGCTTTGCTGCATCCCCTGGTTCAGGTATTTAATTAGCGGCGCGGCCACGGTAGCAGGGTTAGAACACTAATGAAATACCTAGTATATCCTTAAAAAAATGTATTAGTAGACAAACACATAATTAGATCATCGGATCACTTCATATCGTGTATGTCGTCCGCATTTTGGAATATGTGGCCGAAGTCTCAATTTTGTTGTATAACAGTTTCTCAGCATGCCGGCTTACAATACGTCCTAATATCGATAGCTGTAGTACGCTTAAAAGAAACGATATTCTATTTTCACAAATTACGCAAGCACTCGACTTTTTCTGTGTATTCACTCAACATAAGGACTCTCGTCGGACATTCAAAGCGAATTAAGAAAAAATCGTCTTTTTGTTCAGAGATAAACTCATCAATTCACTGCAAAACAAGTAACTTGTGTAGTTTTATTTATTTTATAAACACCCTAATTATAATTATTGTAACATTCCAGTTTAGTATTTATTGTGCATACTGCATGTAAATGTATGAATATAATGTGGCACGACACTATACTCGATTAAATGAATAATAATATGTCTCTTCGAGCAAAAATACTTCAACCTTCAGTAAAAACGTAGGCGGAGATATTCATTGTGATTTCTACAGCCTTTATCCACATATTATTTTGAAAGATGCAGTTTTACGATCAATCCAATGAACAAAAAAAACCAACCACTTTTAAACAACTTTACAATATGGTACAATTTATGGAATTAAAAAAAAACATATTTTTTTCTTGCTCTGCTTAAATACTTGTCAGTTGAACAAGATTTTTAAAGCACCAAAGGTCATTTTTTCAATGACACATTCCGAACCCGCTAAGATTATGATTCATCCAATACACATCTAACCGGATACTTATCGGGACCTGGTGAGTTCACCGCTGTCCAATGAGGAGGAAAATTAAGGTTCCATATAAATTTTTCGGTCGTTTCGTATTCAATAAAAGTCAGGGCGATCACATTATATCTGAGTTTATTGCTATGCACGAAATATGTTCGATAAATTCTTGAGCCTTTTTGTACCTAACTGTACTTAAGTGTAAATAAGAATCTCTTCAGTGGTTCTTGTCCATGTGTACCTACAACATTTATGGATTACTTATCTTATTCGCATCATCATCTCGGCCTATAGCTGCTCACTGTTGAGGATAGGCCTCTCCAATAAATCTCCAGTGCGCCCGGTCTCGACTCCAAATCGCAGTAGCCACCATGGGACAGTGGTTCCGGAAGTAGCGCATTGACATAAGCCCCACGAAAAGCACAGCGGTGCACTTCAAAAGGGGTTGCCCTCCGAATACTACTTCGAGCAGCCCACCCGCTAATAGGCGGGTTAACACCTCCGCCATTAGCCCCATCACTCTTTGGTCAGCCCATACCGTAGGACCTCAAAGGTCAAATATATAGGGGTCACCCTCGACAGAGGGATGACATTCCGACCCCACATTAAAACGCTACGCGACCGCGCCGCCTTTATATTAGAACGCCTCTATTCTATGGTTTACAAGCGAAGTAAATTGTCCCTTCGTAATAAGGTGACAATCTACAAAAATTGCATACGCCCCGTCATGGCCTATGTAAGCGTAGTGTTCGCTCACGCGGCCCGCGCCAACTTGAAGCCCCTTCAAGTCATTCAATCCTGTTTTTGCAGGTTAGCCATCGGAGCACCATGGTTCCTAAGGAATGTGGATCTCCATGATGACCTTGACTTAGTGAGTAAGTATTTACTGTCGACATCATTGCGCCACTTTGAGAAGGCGGCACGACATGAAAATCCTCTTGTCGTGGCCGCCGGTAATTACATACTCCATCCTGTGGACCAAATGGTAAACAGTCGACGTTGCCTTAAGCAGGTCATTACGGACCCTCCCAATCCATTAACGGTGCTTTTAGGTACCACAAGCACCTCAAGTCATCTTTCCCGTCGAACCCGTCGCTTGCGACGAAGGGCTCGGCAAATAAATTAACCCATAAACACAACCCACTGAGATTGTCGCCGGATCTTCTCCGTGGGTCGCGTTTTCCAATACGAAGGTAGATTCTAGAAACACTGCTCTTTCTAGGGCCAAGGTAAGCAACACCCGATTTGAGCTCCGTGGGCTCAACTACACGTGAAGGAGAAGCTGAAATAGTATCTCTAGGCTTGCAGCATAGGTAGGAAAAAAAAAAGCGCCCGATCCGTTTTCACCTGCATCAAACGTGACCCAGCGATATTTACTAGATCTGGTAGTCCATCTGGTAGTTGTCCGTCTCAAACTGCGCTTTCCAGTACGTGATCTCCACTCAAGAATCTCACACATTGATTCTCAACAGTACACTAGCAGTGTAGTAAATTCTTATAATCTATAGAGCGTAAAGCATGAAAATTGGATCCAACACATAGTGACAGCGACGCGTAGCCGAAATTCAATAGTATTTTTTTTATTTCTTAGTTGGGTCTACAAACTCACAGCCATCTAGTGTGCAGTGGTTACTGGAGCTCATAAACATCAACGAAGTAAATATCAATGACGCCACCAGTATTCAGACATGAACTATAAGTTTAAAGCACAATGCCCATTTTCTTAGGGCGTTTGGGCCCTTAAAAAAAGTTGTCGGGTCATGATGGTTTTAACTTAATTTGATAGACAAAGAAATATCGTTTCATAATCAGAAAACGATTTTTATATTCTCACCCAGGTTTAAGAGAAATCTGTTTTTTTCTGCAGCTAAAATTAAGTTGTTAATTGTTTTCTTCGAAATCAATAATCGCTCTCATCATTATTTACAGTATTCAATAAATTAATTGTGGTTAATGTTGCTAGAAATAAGCCCTTACGTACATTTTATTATTATTATATCCTCATAATAATAATAAAATGAAATGAAAATCCGGAAGCCGGCAACGATATTGTCGCTGTTGTTTTTAAATTCGCCAATAAGCAGGCAAAGAGCGTAGCCTATACAGCCTATTCTGTCGTAGTTATATTATTATTTTTTTCAATAAAAAGCTGGTTTATCTCTTTTTATTGCTTTTTGGCAGTTTTGACGTCAACTCGATGAATAGCACATTGAGGGAGCGTGAATTTCCGGAGACCTTTTATTTTGAAAAAAAAAACAGTCACTGCTATGTTAGCCACAGTTTTTTTTATTTTTTTTATTGCTTATATGTGTGGACGAGCTCACAGTCCACCTGGTGTTAAGTGGTTACTGGAGCCCATAGACATCTACAACGTAAATGCGCCACACACCTTGAGATATAGTTCTAAGGTCTCAGTATAGTCACAACGGCTGACCCACCCTTCAAACCGAAACGCATTACTGCTTCACGGCAGAAATAGGCGGGGCGGTGGTACCTACCCGTGCGGACTCACAAGAGGTCCTATCACCAGTAATTACGCAAATTATAATTTTGCGGGTTTGATTTTTATTGCACGATGCTATTCCTTCACCGTGGAAGTCAATCGTGAACATTTGTTGAGTACGTATTTCATTAGAAAAATTGGTACCCGCCAGCGAGATTCGAACACCAGTGCATCGCTCGATACGAATGCACCGGACGTCTTATCCTTTAGGCCACGACGACTTCAAAGTCGACTTCAGTTTTATTCCAATGCCTCAATAATCGTGAACAACGATTATTGACGTTTAATACACAAAACAACACCCAATTTATATATTATACATCACAATAAACTATTAAAAAAACATTAAAATAAAACTTCAAGTGACGCTTCACTCGGGTTGCTGCCAAAACTCTGATCATATATTATTAAAATAAGAATAGAGTAATGGTAGGCCATTGAGATTTTTACTAATGGAATCAATAATATCTAAAAATATTAAATAATTCATGGTTTTAAGTAATAATTATTATTACAATGTTGAATTGAACAAAAATAAACTAAAAAGTCTGAATTATAACCATTAGCTATTTTTTTTTAATTTGTTGTTCAAGTCACAGTCAACGCTTTCGTTTGGCCGCTTAAAGGTTTACTATAAGGCTTTATGGGCTAAGCCCTTTGCCTATTGGCGAATTTAAAAACTATGGCATTCAGTTTTGGGATGTTATCAAATAAGTAAATTATTTTGTAAAACAATGCCAGGTTGAAAGAAATGTTGATACATAAGCTAAACAACGTGAAAAAATAAGGCATAGTTTTTCAAGTACAAATAGTTTTGACATAAAGTTGGCCCACTTTTGGGCATTGTCCTTTTACAGAACAATGTAAGCCTCACCCTTCTAACCGAAACGTATTACTGTTTCACGACAGAAATAAGCAGGTACCCGTGTGGACTCACAAGACACCCTACCACCAGTAATTATGCAAATTATAATTTTTGTAGGTTTAATTTTTAATATACGATCTTATCCCTTCACCTAAGACACCCGGTGGGCCTGTAATGTGTGATGTGACTATACCGTAGCTTTTAAACCTTTGCCGGTTCACGAATGAATTCCACGCTGAATTTCACTTGTAATAAAATTCACACCAGCAAACTTGCGTTTGCATAATGCATGACTGTAGGCGTATTGTGTTAAAAATAAAGCTATGTTAGTAAGCAGGGGTGGGTAGCACCTTCATCACCTAACCTTCGTGAAGGAGTGACCTGAGGGGGTCGAGGCCGAGCGACGCGCTACTAGCACTTCTAGCATGCCGCTCAGGAGTGTCATCATAATAGGGACCGGTTGGTGGTGTATCTGGTCCCGACCCGCCAAACTGGTTCCGACAGAGCACGGTATCCCGGGACACAAATGGTACCGCCTGGGCGGCCTGACGGGTCGCCATACCGTGACGTCGACGTTCCAGAGCCTTCTTTTCGCCTCCAACGCTCCGTCGGCCGTGCGTCCTTGGCATGAGCCGTGCGTCTGGTTGCAGTGTTGACGGCGGTAATACCTTACCCTCCTGGATTCTGACCTCGGAGGATTGGACTCTTACGCGAGAGTGCAGGGGAGTTGTTTAGTGGCCAGGGCCCTAAATACCATTCTTGAACCCGCGATCCGCTCCCAACATCTACGGAACGTCTAGTCGCATATACTCCGCGTGCCTCCTAGGCGCAGGGACCTAGGAGGGCGTAGGAGGTTCGGCCCCCTGCCAAAAAAAGGGAGTAAGTATCACCATCCAACCGATTTTTATCGCAAAGTGGCCGTAGATAAGATGGCAGCTCTCTGGTCATAATAAATGTAAATTCCGATATTCACTTAATACCACATGGACCGTGAGCTTATCGGTTTTATTGTTACAATTCTCTGATTTAATAACTTTTAAGACAAAGATTTGATATTATGTTCGCTTTAGCAGTACAAATACTTAGGTAACTAGCTTACAAACTATGAAGATTACCTTTTTACTGCCTTACTTAATTTTAATTCATCTGATTTATATGCCAACTTCATTTAAAGTTAAACAATAAAGTTCAATTTCAACAGTATTCAACATGATCACAATCTTATCCAGTTTTTTCCCTTCAAGTTATTACCCTACCATGTTCTTTCGTTCGTATTTTCCAGTTGTCGTCGGGGAACATTATTAATAAGACAATGAAGTCAGCTTTAAGTTTTATTGACAAGGTAAAATTTAAAACATCCATTTTAAGTTACAGTCTGAAGAAATCGCAGTGAAGAAATATATTTTATTTTCATTAAGATACTTCGTCGACGACCCTTACAAACACCTCGTATTCTAATTTCAGTTTATTTTTAAGTGAATTCGCAACAGTATCCAAAATCTTTGTTCCTCTGAAACTATAGTATGATCCGAACTTCTCACCGTTTGGAAGGTTCACTGTTGGTGGGTATCTGCAAGAAGAATTTATCATGTGTCTCTAATGGGACTAAACATAACTTCAAAAGATACACATATTAGTCTTATACCGTACTGTCTGAGTTTTAAAATAATCGTTATTTCAGTGCAACTGAGATTTCGATCTTATTTGTGTATATTATCTATATACTTCGATAATGTTTTAAAATAAACGGGCCTGTCAACATATATGGCTGGAAAAATATAGGTATATCTATGCTTTACTATAACTATAAGTAAGTAATATGTAATATGTGCCAGTATTTTTTTAATTTATTGTCTTGGTATGCAGACGAGTATACGGCCCACCTGATGGTGAATGGATACTGTCGCCCATGGACGTCAGCAACGTCGGAGACAGAGCCAAGCCGCTGCCTACCGTTAACATGAGATAATTATGTCACCCAATCTGTAAAAAGGCAATGAATTTTCAATTGGTACTCACTGAGTTACGAATTCGGATGTCTCGTTGACTTTGAAATTCGGTGTTAGATATTTGCACTTAACCGCAATTTCTTTGTCGGCATAAACTTTCTTGAAATGATTGGAACTGCTATCGTATTCATTTCCAAAGTGTAAGCCATCGAAAGACACATATTTTTCAACCAGTCCCTTGATGACTTTGTGAATATAAGGATATCTACTAGCGTAAATTCTAATTCCACTATATTTACTAGGACGTTCTCTAAAGCCAGGGTCTCTGCCATCAGGCCCAGGAGGTCCACCGGGTCCGTTAAGGCCATTAGGGCCATTTGGCCCTCCTGGACCACCAGGTCCAAAACCTCCTTCTCCTCCGTTACCTCCAAAGCCTCCGTTACCTCCAAAGCCTCCATTACCACCAAAACCACCATTAGGGCCAACCTGATGCACGTATCGATAGTCCCCATCATCGAATGGATATAAGCCCTGTTGATAAATATAGGTGTATCGTCCTTCATCTCCTGGAATGTATTTTCCTTCATCTAAAGGTCTATAATATTTTCCATCATCGTAAAAATCATATTTTTTCGGTTTATATTTGCCATCATCATAGGGTGAACTTTGAACCGCAGACCACAGGAACAATAGCAGTATCTAAAAATGACAAGATTCAAAATAACAAAAAAAAAGATAAAAATAAAAGCTGCATTGAGTCCATTACGTTTCAAAACCGTAGCAGAAAGCATTATTTTATAGAAAAAATAACATATTATTAAAACGTTATTTTCATTGAAATTAAATCTAGCCCAGGAGTGAGCAACCTTTTTAATCAATAGGACAATTTAAATTTATTTATTTTTTTGTCGGGGCCGCCCATACACTAACTCTAATTAATAATTTACGAAACCTTATTTCTTTTTTATAAACAAACAAGAAAAGAACAGAAAAACGAATTAATGGGAGAAAGTCGATAAAAAATATTCAATTTTAGAAATGCTTGGCGGGCCGCAAAAGACCGTGGACCACGTGTTGCTCATCCTTAAAAACATTTCAAATTATAATTTCACCATATTATATCCCAGGCGAGCGCTAGCACCTCACAAACATCACATTTTTTTTCGAAGTATTTCATCGGAAGTGAACACAAACACTATAAAAATGAGCTGGCACACCGAAACAAAAAAAAATACAAAAAAAAAACAATCACTTAGGCATATTTTATAAAAATTTGCATAATATTATTTATATATTATATAATCAATAGGTACTTACTAATTTAATCATCGGCATCATAATGATTAATGTAACTGACTTAATGAAGTCTTCAGTCACACAGAGCCTGTTGACGCCGCAAATAATGTGCAGGATCTGAAACTAGATCACATTCTGTGAGCATGACACACGGGGAAGCAACCTTTAGGAAATCGATATAAAGCATCAAATTCGTCTCATTTTTCAATGACATTTGATTAGCATTTAAATTAATAATAAATTTAAAATTAAACATACCAAAAAGTGGAACAAGATCCTTAAATCAAGGCGCGACGAGGTCAAACCGATGAATTAGCATAGATTATAAAATTATAATAGTTCCGTTGTGACTCTATTAGTGGATGAGAAGCATCAATCACCTGAGTTTGCACTTTAACATTTAGTAATTTAATTTAAAAAGTTACAGCCGACGAAGGCTCGGATATTTCCGAGACGACCGACTTGTAAGAGAGTCGTATTTTTCTTATGGAATGCTTGAGGCTCCACTTCACACATCGATTTGCATAAAACAAAAATGATTAAAATGCAAACAATATATAGCCCACTGCAATCTGAAGACCTTATTCCGTTTACGTCTGAGTAGATAGTTGACTCTCTTGATTTGGTTGACATACAAAGGCGCGTCCTCCAACTTCATATAGAGTAGGAGTCATAAAGTCTATCTGTGGTGATTTAAATGACGGTAATCTACTTTTTTTTTTTTTTTAAATATAAAATAACAAAAATATTTTACAAATATTATTGCAAAATGAATTGTATTAACTTAATAATTCTTTCGTAAATAACCCACAGCTTCGAAGAAGTAATTATTAATATTCGTCGTTCAAGAAATTTCGGTAATGCAATTGCAAATATTTCATACACTTTTCATATTCACAAGAAAATTATTGGCTAAAATATCTATGTTAAAATTAATAACATAAATTTGGCAAAGTAAGTTCCTTAAAAAGACATTGGTTACTGTTTTGAATTCACCAAGTTCTAACACTTCGATCAACAATGTTGTCAACACATTAGGTCCTACCACCAGTAATTACGCAAATTATAATTTTGCGGGTTTCATTTTTATTACACGAGGACATGCCTTATTCCTTCACCGTCAATCCGGAAGTCAATCGTGAACATTTGTTGAGTACGGATTTCATTACAAGAATTGGTACCCGCCTGGGATTCGAACACCGGTGCATCGCTCAACACGAATACACCGGACATCTTATCCCTTAGGCCACGACGACTTCAAAGTTGACCATGCGTGTGAAAAAATCTGAATTATTTTTATGAATATTTCTAACAAATTTTAAGGATTTCATGCACGCACAATAATTACGGATCTCAAGTTAATTTGCATCTAGAACTAGTATGCCCCACTAAGGAAAAACAAATGAGCACCTGGTTTTTTGTTATTGATATATAAATTTTACACTATTTTACTTAGTAGTTCTGCGGAATTCAACGATTAGTCATTTAATTATTCCTAAAACATGATCTGTGTGATTCACTATAATAAAACTATCTAGTTGCTGGCCATAATGTTCATCAAGGTTCGCCGCAATGGTCGGTCCTGTGTTGCCCGTTTTCAGCGAATTCCTACGACCATCACTAACAGTTTACATTACGGCCTATCTAGGTACATATTACAATGTGCGTTGATCCCACTCATGATCATGTTTTATTTAAATTTGGAACGATTATTTTCAGGAATGATATTTAGGCTAACTAATTCTAGCGATCACAGGCTATACACTATTCAATAAGGAAATATCGTTTTATAAAATTTCTATATTTAAATTTTTATATTTATAAATCTACCTAATCTAGCATTTAAATATTTGTTGCTTTAATTATGTTGTTTGCGATACATTTTTACTAGTTCTTCCTATTATTTTATACATGTTTTTTAAAGGAACATACTGGTATTTCTATTTCTTTTTCATTATTTTGAATGAGAAAAATGTTTTTCAATTTGTACTTGCACAAGATTACATAAGATTATACTTAAACGCATTCTTTTTACATTTGAAAAGTTTATTTTATTGATTACCAGTCGATCTCAGCCTACTTTTTTCCCTACCTTATCATTGGCAGTCTAAGGGGCTACTCTAACTTCGCGGGGACCGATAGGTGAGCTCACGAGCTCCACCCGGAGAGAATTGCTAACACTAGAGAAATGCTTCGCTGAATCTACTACCGGATCGGAATCGCGACCCACTGAGAAGATCCGGTGAAAAGCTCAGTGGATTGTGTATATGGGCTAATTCGCACGTTAAAATCTTCGTCGTAGTTGACGAGTTCGACGAGGACGGTGACCGGTGCTTGAAAAGCTTAAAAGCACCGAGAGTGGATCCAGGGGACTCGACAAGGTATGTTTTCGGCGACATATAGCGACAGTGATGTATAGTTAGCGGTGACCATGATAAGCCAGGATTATCGTGCCGCGCCGCTTTTTTAAAGTAGCGTTCTAACACTTCCTTAAATTACTTACGTGTCGGTTCTAGATTTAAGTCGTCGTGAAGATCAACATTCCTTACATACCAATATGTTATGATACACTGCCGAAATGGAATTGGATGACCTGGAGAGAGTTAACGTGTGTACGGGCTTTGTAAGCGAACAATACACTAGCATGGGCCATGACACGGCTATTGTATGGTACGGTTGCTGTCATAATTAATGTACCTTCTCTTGAGCTTCGATCAACACTGCCCATTTAGAAGTTATCAAAACTCATCTTAGTTATATAAAATTATACAGAAACAAGAAAAGAGTGTTTTTTTTCTTTTTCTTTAATTAAATAAATTGTAACACGGAGTTCCGAAAACGCCAGTAAATAAACCACCCTAAAACGTTATTCATGTTGTAGTATATTAATGAAAAGCAGTATCTAAATTATGATTTTAACCAAGTAAGCCATGATAAGTTATCGAACACGACTCTGAGAGTGAACGCTCACCGTCGCTCATAGACTTCAGCATTGCCAACGTCACGGCTAAGCCACTGACGACTGCTAAATTTGATAATTCCCCGGTCGCCACCGACCCAGTTAGCCTTATTCGCCGACGACACAATCGTTTACTACTCGAGTGGAAACAAGTCCCTAATCGCTAGTAAACTCCAGAGCGCAGCCGTAACCCTCGGACAGTGGTTTCGAAAATGGCGCATAGATATCAACCCAGCGAAAAGCACAGTAGTGCTATTTCAAAGGAGGGAAACTCAAAGCGCATTTCCTGCCGCATTAGGAGGAAAAAAATCACACTCCCGATCCCCCTTCGGCAAACCTATACCCTGGGTCAGGAAGGTCAAGTACCTGGGAGTCACCCTGGATGCACCAATGACATTCCGTTCGCATATAAAATTAGTCCGCGACCGTGCCGCGCTTATTCTCAGCAGACTCAACCCCATGATTTGTAAGCGGAGTAAAATGTGAATTCAGAACTAGGTTTTTTTTTATTTATTGCTTTGATGGGTGGACGAGCTCACAGCCCACGTGGTGTTAAGTGGTTACTGGAGCCCATGGACATCTACAACGTAAATGCACCACCCACCTTGAGATATAAGTTCTAAGATCTCAATATAGTTACAACGGCTGCCCCACCCTTCAAACCGAAACGCATTACTGCTTCACGGCAGAAATAGGCAGGGCGGTGGTACCTACCCGCGCGGACTCACAAGAGGACCTACCATCAGTAAAAGTAGGTGACGCTTTACAAATCTTGCATAAGGGCCGTCACGACTTCCGCGAATGTGGTGTTCGCTCACGCAGCCCTCCAATCCCTGCAATCCCGCTTTTGCAGATTAGCGTCGGAGCTCCACGGTTCGTAAGGAACGTTGACCTACACGACGACCTGGGCCTCGAATCAATCCGGAAACACACGAAGTCAGTGTTAGAACGGTACTTCGATAAGATTATATGGCATGATAATCGCCTTATCGTTGCCGCAACTAACTACTGCCCGAATCCTGATCACGCAGGAGCTAGTCAACGTTGACACTCTAGAGACGTCCTTACGGATCCATCATACCCAGAACCCTTGCATTAGACGCCTTTAGCTCTAACACTAGGAGCAGGCATAGGGACCCCGGTAACCGTACTCGTCGAACTCGGCAAAGAGTTCGACGTGCAACGTAGCCTAAACATCAGCCCGCTGAGTTTCTCCGTGGTAGATCCGGTTCTGCTCTTGCTGGGGCTGGTGTTAGCAAATTCTCTAAGATTGAGCCCGTGAGCTTACCTACCCGTCCGGGCGTAGCTGGAATAGCCTCTTAGGCTACCAACCACTAGATAGGGAAAAAAACTAAGTGAGGATTTAAGCTCACATCTGAAGATGAGCGGGAAATACCTCGTTATTTTATCTATAACGAAACAAAACATTAACTTTCGGTGCCTAACGTGCCCATTCTGGTTAGTGAAAAGGAAATTAAAGATAACCTTCCTTTGTACATAATATTATGACACTATACATAATGATAATGACAAAACAGTTCGGTGTTTTTTCCTCTTCTGTTTTTCCTTCGACTAGTTATTAACGGGCGAGTATTATCGAAAAAAACGGCTTTAACACGTTTTTACTAGCTTGGTATTTTTTTTTTTTATTATCTTTGAACGTCAATTTCACCGACTTCAAGACGTCAAATGAACTTAAAAATCCGCACACGCATTAAGCACTGATGACAATACAATAATATTTTAACATCCCTCCAACATCTTGTAATGACAAGATGACATCGTCATGAACTTATTAACATGAAGTTATTTGTTAAGGAAATTTATTAATATATTCCTTTTAATACTGTATAAACTATTATATGTATATAATATGTATGTGTGTATGTATATGTATATGTGATTGTGTATATATGTATACATATACTTTTTTTGTGTATGTATTCGTAACTTAATATAAATTTCATTGCATCTACCACTATTTACTCTGCACTACCTTTGGTTGACTGGTAGATAATGCCTTAGGCATTAAGTCCGCCAATGTAAATTATTAATTACATGAATTATATAAATTACATGATGTGTAATAAATAAAAAATAAATAAATAAACAAAAACATTAGCTGTTAGTTCTTTATCTTATACCTTTAAACGAGCAATTCTTGTATGTATATACATATATACCTATATAATCTGAATCACGGAAACGGCTCCAACGATTTTCATAAAATTTAGTACATATACAGGGGATTTCGGGGGCAATAAATCGATCTAGCTACGTTTTATTTCAGAAAATGTTGTTTTATTCGTGTTTTCAATAATCAACTTTATCGGTAATCGTCTTTATGACTCTTCCCGACATCTATTGGCGAATAATAGTACTATTTTTCTTAATTGAGGGCAACTAACCGCTTTAAAGACACAGCAAGATGACGTTATCAAAAAAAAAACTGAGCAAAGCTCGGTCATCATCTAGTAATATTTAAGCGTGTTTTCCTAGTACATATTGCATTTTAGCGTAGTTTCTACGTATTTAAATTATTTTGGAAATTGATCAATATAATTTATATTACGTTTACAATGAAAGATTGTCAAAAAATAAAAATGAATAATTTGCTCGAAAAGCTGCTCTTACTGACTAGCCTTAGTAACTCGGTTGAAATGTTGTCCAGCCCAAACGAACGCCTGGATTAATGCTTGAAAAGGTTTCACTCTGTATTTATTGCGATTGGAGGAGAAACATCCAGCGTGAACTCTACCATCAGGTCCAACATTCAATTCGATCCTTATTGTCAAAAACGAAGTAAATTGGGACAAGCAGTCGATTAGAAACGGTGATTTTTGTTGAAAATCTAATATCGAAATTGTTTATAGCAATTCTCCTACTATGAAAGTAGCTGTGACCGTTGTCGCTGTAGCTATAGGTATAATTAACTATGAAACATTCAAAAAGTTTAGTACAAAGATTTGGTCTGTGTTCAAAACCTAAATAGTAATCGGTTTCCACCACAACGTGAATGCCACCACCCACCACGAAACATAATTATATAAGTCGAAGTTTCCTCTTTAGGCTACCCTTCAAAATTCAATCAATCATTATTAACTAACTTATAAAAGAACTGTAACGACTATATATTGAGTATAGTCTTTAAAATTACTGGTGGTGGGACCTCTTGTGAGTCCGCGTGGGTAGGTACCACCACCCTGCCTATTTCTGCCGTAAAGCATAATACGTATGAAGGGCAGGGCACCCGTTGTAACTATACTGAGACTTACTGAACTTATGTCTTAAGGTGGATGGCGCATTGACGTTGTAGATGTCTATGGACTCCAATAACCACTTAACACCAGGTGGGCTGTAAGCTCGTCCACCCATCTAAGCTATAAAAAAAACCTATTTTTACAAATCAGTTATCATGTCTCATCAAATTCTTCAGCGCCAGGAATATATTTCGACGAGGAACGATCTAAAGGAGGGAATTGATATCAGTTAGATTTATTCGCCGATGACACGACTGTTTACTATTCGAGTAGAAATAAGTCCCTTATTGCGAAGAAGCTTCAGAGCGCAGCCGTAGCCCTAGGACAGTGGTTCCGAAAATGGCGCATAGACATCAACCCAGCGAAAAACACCGCAGTGTTATTTCAAAGGGGAAACTCACCGCTTATTTCCTCACGCATTAGGAGGAGAAATATCAGACCCCCGATCACCCTCTTCGGCCAACCTATACCCTGGGCTAGGAAGATCAAGTACCTGGGAGTCACCCTGTATGCATCCATGACATTCCACCCGCATGTAAAAACAGTCCGCGACCGTGCCGCATTTATTCTCGGCAGACTCTATCCCATGATGTTTAAACGGAGTAAAATGTTCCTTGGGGACAAAGTGACACTTTACAAAACATAAAGCATAAAGCCCATCATGACTCACGCGAGTGTGATGTTCGCTCACGCGGCCCGCACACACATAGACACCCTCTAATCCCTACAATCCCGCTTTTGCAGGTTAGCCGTCGGGGCTCCACGGTTCGTGAGGAACGTTAACCTACACGACGACCTGGGCCTCGAATCAATTCGGAAATACATGAGTCAGCGTCGGAACGGTACTTCGATAAGGCTATGCGTCATGATAATCGCCTTATCGTTGCCGCCGCTGACTACTCGCCGAATCCTGATCATGCAGGAGCCAGTCACCGTCGACGCCCTAGACACGTCCTTACGGATCCATCAGATCCAATAACCTTTACATTAGACGCCTTCAGCTCTTATACTAAGAGAAGGCTTAGGGACCCCGGTAACCATACTCATCGAACTCGACAAAGAGGTCGACGTACAACCTAACCCATGCATCAGCCCGCTGAGTTTCTCGCGGGATCTTCTCAGCGGGTCGCGATTTCGATCCAGTAGTAGATTCATTCGCGAAGCAATTGCTCTTGAGTTGTTAGGTCGCCTTCGGAGGCGCTTGGGCAGTTGTTAGCAAAACCCATCCCTCCTGGCGCTCGCCCACCTGTCCTGGTGAACGTGAAACTGGAAAAGCCTTCGGGCCACCAGTAATCTTTCAATTATAAAAAAAAAGGAATTGTTATCCATGTTATCCAAAACGATAATATGTACTGCCTAAAGCAATAACGTAGGAATAACAATAGATAACATTACAATAACATATTTCCCAGTCACATTTGACATTTGTGGTCGTGGAATATCCGGAACATCTGCATTAATATCTAATTTACGCTCCACAAATGCAAATATCAACAACTTAAATGTATCAAGTTTAATGTATACTTTAAATGTCTCAATTCTAAGAATAAATTAATATTATTAATAATATTCCTCGAACTTATGTATAGTTCGTCTCCTGATATCAAACACTATCTTATTTTACAAAAAATAAATTATACTGTTTTTTTTTCCTTAAAAAAAATCGTTTAGGTAATGTATGTAAGGAATGTAAAATTAACGTGTTTTTCACAGAGCAATCTTTATTATCATGATAAACACATTAAATAATAGCCTGATTAATTATCTTGTAGGTAGAAGGTAAGACAAACGGCTGTAAAAGTAAAGTGGTGCTTTATGTACGTTTTTTTTCTTTTCTTTCTAAAATAACCTTATAATATTGATTTCGACTAGATTTACTTAGGGATGTGAGCTCCGTCAGCAACGAAACCGTTTTCGTCAGCAGTGTAGTCTACTCTGTAGGTGACACCGTCGGGGCCAACGTATTCGTAGAATCCCTTGACCTTGATGCCTTCGTTTTCGGTGCCGACATTCTCGACCTTGCCGGCTTCTTCAGCGAGAATCTTGTTCTCGGTCTCGTACAAGTAGTGGTAGCCTTCGGGAGCGACGTCATTGTCGTAACGGATGATGCCGTATTTGTAGTCGTAGCCGGCGCCGCTGGGTGGGACCACCTTGCTGGCAACGTATGTGGGTGTGACCACCTTGCTGACAACGTATGTGGGTGTGACTGGCACGGGAATGGTAGGCTTCACGACGGGCAGGGGAACAATGCTGGATCCCTTGTAAGCATCACCACTGTAATAAAATTTAACATTATATAACTCTTTTTTTTTTATTGCCTTTGTAGGTAGACGAGCATACGGCCCACCTGATGGTGAGTAGTTACCGTCGCCCATGGACTTCAGCAATGCCAGGGGCAGAGCCAAGCCGCTGCCTACTGCTTAATACTCTCCACAAGCCTCGTTTGAAGAAGGACATGTCATAGCGCTCGGGAAACACCGTGGAGGGGAGCTCATTCCATAGCCGGATAGTACGTGGCAAAAAAGACCTCTGGAAACGCATTGTGGATGACCTCAGTGGCTCCAGGTAGTGTGGATGAACTCTGCTCCGGTGGCGGGCGGTGCGATGGTAAAAACGAATTTTTGGTTGGTAGGTTAGTTCTAAGTCTAGTGAGACTTATACCTTATATCTCAAGCTAAGCGAAGACATTCAACTTTTAATATCCTACAACTCCAGACCATTTAACACCAAATTTATAAAAAACAGTATATAACTTTGATCTGATGATGAACCATCTAACTGACCGCTTAAAATCGAACTGAGAGGTATTTTATTTAATTCAAAATTAGCTAATATTAAAATTAATAGAAGAACTACTGACAGGTATTTGCTGAGGTCCTCCTTGGTTCCGACGTAGGCTCCTCCGGGACCTCCAGCAGTACCGGATCCAGTGTAGAAGCCACCGGCGGCACCACGGTCTCCACGGTCACCGCTAAAACCATTCACATAAATAATAATACACGTTTGCCTTTAGATAACACTCCGATAAAGTAATATGATATACATAAGGGCGACTAGTACATTGATTGTAATCTCACGTTTTAATGATGTTGTATTAATTCTTAAAGCAATATGAAATTTAATATCATTTTCTATTGGGTACTAGAATTTAAATTACATGGCATGTACACTTTGACGAAGTCGCCTTGCAAATTGTTCACTTCAATATCAGCAATGGCATTATGACTATTTATATCGCCGAGGCGTTCCGAGTAATTCCTTCGCTAAATTAATATTCCTCTATAGTTTCCCAAAAACATTATAACATTTGTACGGTTCATATTTATTTTAATTTTGTTTGGTTGCACCGAAAATCTACTTCTCTGATTTTAATTAGGTATGTCATTCCACGAAAATTCGATTTCAATTATTATTCTCTAATTTTATTTTCAACGTTACAGATTGACGATTAACTATTAATTAATAGTAGTAGATAACTTATAGCTTTATGATAAGTAGACTAATCCAAGAAAGGAAAAGTTAAGATAAGAAAACGTACTTGTAGGCACCAGAGTTGTCGGGAATGTAACGGCCAGAGTTGTCGCGGCTGGGGTCATAACGGCCTGGATCAGCTACATAGCGGCCTGGCTTATAGACGAATGGNGTTACAGATTGACGATTAACTATTAATTAATAGTAGTAGATAACTTATAGCTTTATGATAAGTAGACTAATCCAAGAAAGGAAAAGTTAAGATAAGAAAACGTACTTGTAGGCACCAGAGTTGTCGGGAATGTAACGGCCAGAGTTGTCGCGGCTGGGGTCATAACGGCCTGGATCAGCTACATAGCGGCCTGGCTTATAGACGAATGGGGAAACAGTAGAGTAAACTCGGTTGTACTGGAAAGGAGTGTACCTGAGAAAAAAAAAACATTGAAAGATATCATGAATTATTGTTTTGATTTTTTTCTCGTTTTCTCGTCAAAAAAAATCGCCAAAACTTAACAATAATAAACAAGATAACTGCTGAAAATTGAAAATTGAAAGCGGGGCTTAAATAACAACGAACATATCTGATCTTTCCAAAAAAAAAAAAGTTGAATAGAAAGAAAAAAGTATTTTTTTTTTAAATAAAAGCATGAAGAATGTATCATATATTATTCTAATTACCGATTTATAATATAATTACTAAAACTGAAATCCAAATTGATTATACCTCTAATTGATATTGATTATACCTGATTGAAAATTTAAAATCGATTAAATCGATCGAAACACTTTTTAAAATAAGTCACTTCAATTTAAATAAAACACAATAACCTTTCGAACGTCAATTTAAACACTTTCCAAGAAACACGTAACTTTTATTTGCACTAAAATTTAAATCAGTACTCACTTTCCAGTTTCGGCGGCCAGCGCCACTGTCAGAGACAGGCAGATTGCCTAGAAATAAATGATTGAGTTGTCACTAAACACAGTCTGTAAAAAATCTACCAATTTACAACACTAAGCAATATAATCCATTTCGAAGGCGAGATGACAAGTACTCCAATTCAAATTTGTCGTCTGTATCGTGATGTCTATGGGATGTGATAATTAAGGTATATCGACTGTCTGCTCACTAAACGAATTTAAAAAAATACAAAGAAGATTAATTGTAAAATTAATTAACTTTTCAATTCAATTATCCCGAACACCATTACGATTACATGAAGTACATTGCAACGTATCCCGTATACTGTATTGATGGCACTTACCAAAAAGACACGCATTTCCGTTGTTATGAAGCAAACTTAACAACCTGAATGTGATCTACAGAAAATCAATGCTTATTTATACCTTTTTTGTCTAATTTTATAATGTTCTTCTGTCCTGTTCCTCTCATTTATAATGTGTTGTTTGACGCTAATTCATTAATACGGCGTTTCTCAATCTTCACTCGATGATAAATTCAGAAGCGTCGTTTGGTGACAGCAATAATACGTCTAATAAAAAAACTTACTACGAACTTTAAGATTACTGACGTATGTAATATTTATCCGTTCAATATATATATTAATCTGATCTTACGGTGATATTGTAAAGATTATTATTTGGCAAGCAATATAAGAGCAGCGCATAATATTTTGAGAAATTGACAAAAACTGTTGCTCTAACTATTCCTGTTGTAATGTTAATAAATACTGTAAAATTGAGACTCAGAACTTATGTGTTAGGGTGGGTAGCGTTTACTTTGTCGATGTCTGTTGAACATCGTAAATAAGCAACAAAAAAACGTAATAGTATTTCACGAAAAAAAGATTTTGCTTTAATTTTTTTATTGAAAAAGTTGGTTGTTGGTTGTATAAGATACGACACTTAAGTACATTATGCTTTATTATCACCAGCAAAATAGTAGCAATACATTAAAACATAAAAGCGCCTTAAACGGTCTTGTCACTTAAAACAATCTCTTCTAAGCAACCCTTGAGCGTAAATAAGATTACAATGAGAGTAATTTTGATAAATGTAGTGCAGTCGAGTATGCTTTAAAAACATTTCTAGTAGATTAGTAAACTTTATTAATAATTCATATAAATAATCAACACATACCTTAACAGTGACTTAAAAATACTGTTATTTTGGTGTTGGTGGTAGGGTGTCTTATGAACCTGCTCGGGTAAGCACCACCACCCTGCCTATTTCTACCGTAAAGTAGAAGGGCTTTTCGGTTTGAAGAGCAGGGCATCTGTTTTACTACAAATCTGAGCCTTAAAACTGCTGTGTAAAGGCAACTTATACATACATGTGTATGCATGGTATATCTTGGACGGTAGCTGTCACAAGATACTTCAAAAATGCCTGAATCACGCTAGTAATATTTTCATGATATGTTTTTATATGTACAAGTTCCGAACAATAACATTCGGACCGTCGATTTACAGAGCAACAACGCGCCGCTCAATGGAAGATCTTCTCTATTACTATGTCTCCAAATATCAGTATTGCTTGCTTATGTATACATGCCCCCAAACGGAGCTTTCTACATTATCAAAAATACTTCAATATTTTTAGTGTTCAGAAGTAGACGAGCAGTGCACTTGGCATTAAATACTTACTAAAATGCATCAACATGAATACGTGGATGCCGTCGCACACATTATGAACGAAATCTCATTGGGATTTTGTGGCTATTATACCACCCTTCATCCCGAAATGCATGTCTTCTTCACGATCACAGTAGACATTATAGTACCTATACCTACAGGCTTACACAATACGGCCTAGCAGAGGCGAACACGTGCCATATTCGTATTTCTTAATAAAAATAATCTCCTGCCTGCGGGATTTGAAAACTAAGATAGTTCTATACGTCCGGTATTCTCGTAACTCAAGATGAGTTCAACAGCAATAGCCGTCGAAATGAGTAACCAAAAATAGCTATTTATTTATTAATACTAGTTATTTAAAGCGGTAAGAAAATAACGTAAGAAAAGTAGTAGTTATTTAATTATATTTAAAAGAACTCAAAGTATTACTTTGTACATGATTACATGAGTAAGATACCGAGGAAATTTATTAAACAACAATTTGTTGCAAACTTAAATAAATATTTATTGATAGCAATAAATTATAAGTCCCCTATTTATGATCATATCAACCGTCTACTAGGTTGCCTATTAAAATAATAAAGAAAACTTATTCAGTTACAATAAATACTACTTTAAAGAAATGCACTTCGCAATAGTGCCCTTTTAATGCTCTTTTTGACGCATTCACTGAGACTGTAGGGTGATCTCCCTATCTCGTGCTAACCAGCGCATCACATGGCCGCCTTAGAATAATTGATAAATCATGGTTTCCTGTTTAGCGCTACCCTATTTCTAAGATAGGCTCATTGGTTCAGTGACCTAACTACTGTGCAACAACCAGTTTCAATCACTTATTGGAGCATCAGTTGGGTATCAGTATTTCTGATACTAATACTTTGATATCAAGAATTAGGTGTACTTATTTTGTATATAGTATATGTCTATATATGTTTCTGGTACCCATAGCACAGGAGAAATTCGTAGCTCGGGGTCACTCTGTAGAGTGTTCAAATTCTTTATAAATAATTAATAGGACACAAATTAACTCTACTAGGAGGTTCAACTCCCAAATACTGCACCTACCGCGCTGGTGGGGATCCAGCGATTTTCTCCTGTGGAAAAGATAGGACACAAATCAAACACTGTGACTTACTTCCGATCTACCATCCCCTCTAATGTGGAAACCAGAGACTGATGTATACATTAATATATATTTAAAAACATATTGAGCCCCCAAAGACAGAGCAGATATTATGTTCGTATTGGGAGTAGAAAAAACTGCGACAGTGCTGACTACTAATCCACCATAGTTCAAGTCATTTTTACTCCTTGAACAATTTCTCCTCATCAATGCTTCTTAGAAACAACAAATGGCTCTGAAAGGTTTTATACTTTATCAAAGCAGCATCTTCTTATTAAACACAAACCAGAGCAACACGGATGCATTAATGCAAAACACGCGTGAAGTTTGAGAAACGTTGTTAAATTAATTAATTTTATCAAGATTCGCTCCGCAAGTCCGATGCTCAGCTTTATAAATTATGTATGTGAATCAATTTTACACACATTAATGTGATATAGATGGCGATAGTTTTCAAGGCCAAGATGTTCACCGGCATAATTTAAATGAGATTAATGGTAGTTGCCTAGACCTAACATTCTAATTTTAGCTAAGCGAATATTACTCTTATTTAAAATTTAATGTTTTTAAGTAATAGTTTTGTATTCAGGGTAAAATAGTGAGAATACCGTCTAATAAGTGTTAAATGGCTACAGAATTCCATAGGTGAATCATAATATGGCTGCATCCAATCTTTCTGCCCGCTTGAGACATTGCATACATATATTTTCTTGCGATGTCTCGATTGGATATCCAAATAATTATGATAATAAAGGTCAACATATTTGTGTTATTAGATTAAACGGCCCCAATTTTTTTAGACCGATTTAAAGGGGGCACGGTGATATGAAGCCCCACGCATAGGTACTATAAAATAAAACCCTATAAAATTTTATCTACTTATAATGTCTGTAAACACGAAACCTTAATACAGTTGAGTTGAGTTTCTCGCCTAAGTGGTGGTAGATGCTGCGAATCTCTGTTCTGCCATTGTTAACACGTTCTCTCGTGTTGCACTCCTTAACCTACCTAACAGTCACAGCGTAGCTTGAATAACCTTTTAAGCTACCAGCGATTATGTAAGAAACAAATAATAATCGAAGACTATAAAATACATAAACATAATGTTTTTGTTTTTTTACTTTAACCTTATGAGACTAAGAAAAATTCGATTTGCATAGTTTTAAAGCAAATGCAGAATAGGATATACCTATTAATTAATTTGTACACTACATGAACTAATGCATAACAAAAACACAATTTTTAAAACAAATTTGGCCTTTCTTTTTTTATAAATTTATTTATGAATTATTGTGATATGTCTTTCTATAGTATTTTTTTTTTTTTTGTAAATATTATTTTCTACGTGATTTTGTTTCCCACGTTCCGCACAGCACCATTGTCATTATGATGCGGCACCCAACACCTACTTGAGAGACGCACCTTAAAACAGGCAACAATATTTTCTTACCATATGCCATAAACGTAATTCAGTGGTGTGCGACTGTGTGATTTAATAATATACGTAAAAGGCGACGCGTAACTCGAAATCCAAAAAGAAACTTATATTAAAAGAATTTATGGAACCACAAAAACCAGTTTCACATAAAAAAAAATCAGGACGGGTTCTTTTCTAGAATTGTTATGATATTTTTTTTAGCTTTCCACGGTTTCGGACCAGTTAAGATTTTAATATAGACGATTGAAATTCCGATGATAGATAGAAAATTGTTGTGGATTGGCGAGTTCGTAAACGGATTCAATTCTATGCGTACTGTAAGCCTTAGATAAGTTCATTATTGCCAGATTATTAATAGAACATAAATTTCTATCTTAATGAGTACAGCTTGAGAATGTTATATGATAATCTTGAATACATAACATACTAACACTTAAATTTTATAGCTGATGCTGCAAACATCCTCCAGCTAGCTAAATGCATTATGTAAATGCGTTGAATTAAACGGGATTCATTACCATTTAGAACATTTGAGACTTCTTAAAACATATATGTCAGTTGACAAACGAGTTGCTCATACCTATTGAAAATGATAAAACCTTTGGTGATCACACCCACGGAAAAGCGAAGAATCCATTATAATAAAAACGAATGTGTGCAAACAACAATTCCAAAAAAAATCTATCTACAGTAAAAAAGATTATTTATTTGCTCCAGACTAAAAAATTAATGTCTCAAATGATTTATTGTCTTATTACACTTAAACTGTTTACCGGAGGCAATAAACATAGTCGAAATTTCAATTAAAAATTAATTCATTAAAATATGTTGAGTCGATGTTTCTACAATACAATCGTTTCAGAATCTATATTTTAATACATGAAGCAAAAACTTTGTATTTAAAATTATGCATAAAAATACATTAAATCAATAAATAAAACATTACACATGCTACCATGTATTTGACACACATACACATACCTACTCTTTTGTTTATTGTTAAATTCTGTGGTCTAATTGAGAATAAATGAATATTTCTGGTCTATAATATTATTTGTCTATAAAGTGAAGTTTTTGACAATAGAACCATAATAATGTTCAAACTTATAATTTAAATTAATAATTATAGTCGAATTT